AAAGAGTGAAAGAGTGCCTCGGTCGTGAACCCGAGGAACGACCTCGGTGAAACATCGTGTAAAGAGGAACGAGCAAGAGAGAGAGAGAGAGAGAGAGAGAGAGGGAGAGAGGGAGAAGAAAAAAAGAACGGGTTAAACGAGCAGAGAGCGTTAAGAAGAGGAGAAAAGATGGAATCGTGGAGAGTGATGCTGACAGAGAGAGGTTGATTAAATTAAACAGCTGCGAAAGACTCGAAAAGGTGGCTCGAACCACAAACAAAATTAAAACTTTTGCGCGCGATATCGCGTTTTAAGGACGGAAAGAAGCCGATGCGCGCGTATAAAAAATCGCTTGCCCCACGCATTACTTTCTAATTTTGAACTCGCCGCATCGCGTTGGTTTACATCGTGTCGCGAGATCGAACCGGCTACTGCCTCTCTGTTTATAAATTCTTACGGTTGGGGATGTACATATATACATCCCCCAGCGCTGGAATTTGTCAAATTACGGAGGGTATTAAACGGGGGACCGTTACCTCCCACGCAGCCGAAAAAGAAGATGAACGGAGACTATGCTCTTTTGATAAAACGGTGGGAATTAGGACACCGAGTAAAATTTCCTAAAATTGTTTTCCATTTTTAATTTATTAAATCAATTTTCAATCCAAATTACAATATTATACTGTAAATAGTTTTTGCTTTAATTTTTGGAAAACATCAAGAAATCTCAAATAGACAATGACACTATGTTGCCTTTAATTCCACGGCTTCAACAGGATACTGTGGATATTGATTATGAAAGAGCAATTATAAATAACAACTTCCTCAAAATTTTATCTCGGAATATTCTTTATGAGTTTTGAATTTTATATTTTGAAAGTGCATTCCGTCGCAGAAATATAAATGCGCGACGTGCGGAATGGCTAATAATAGAAGGTTGGCTTGCCGGCCAACAACGCCGGTTTGCAGTCGCGACTGGGTTCTATAGAGGCGTAACTTCCGTTAATATCGTGGCAGACTTGGTGCTCTTGGTGCATCTCGGTGCTCGCACATCCGCGTATGAGAATATCATACGCATTCCGTTGCGACGATTTCGTAAGCGGGGTCAGAAATTTTCGAGAGTGCACGAATATACGCACGAAATACATACCTGATGCGATAATATGTATTATCGCATTATACCGAAGTATATATAATTCGGATGTTCCAGAATACGATGATATTATTAAAATTTGATATATGCGAAAAATTATTGTTGCGTGTTTAACACTTAACGATGTATTTTATGTATCATCTTTTCATACGGCAAACTTATTAAATTTAATGTTCGTGCGATGTAATGTTCGTGCAAATTAATTTAATTAGCATATATAGGATAAAATCGACGAAAAATGCAATGCAATAAATAAATTTAAGCAAGTATTATTTAAGTGACTGGCAGGAGTTGCCTAACAAGCGCGCTACATATCCTCTCGACCCTGATCTTGCACGACCACTTGCGCGGACTATATTTTGCATAACCATAAACCGACGCTACTTCATCGAGTGGCAGATGGTTCACCATGCGCGTCCCTGAAGAGCTTTCTTTGCACACCGATACGGAGAAAGTCAAGTGCGCGGATCGAAGAGATCGGATTCACACACGCTTATTACATGCCGCATAGATTCTGCAAAAATGGACTGTGATAAATATAGCTAAATAAATTATTATTTTTGATATGTGTTATTATGATTAATTAAAAAATTTATAAATATATAAAAAGATTTATTATGAGAAGATTTACAAAGAATCTTGAAATATTTGAACATACAAATTTTTATCTGTATCTGATATCTTTAGAAATTTGTAGTGTGTTCCTTATAATTTTTAATCTTGAGATTAATGTACAAATAATCTAATTTTGACGTGTATCTTTATTCGATATAGAAATAATTAACGTATTGTCGAAATAAATGTATTTTTCATTATATTATTCGAAACGTTAATTTAACGCGTAGCGTCTTACGTTTTCTCGCTCCGTGGAATTTTTATTCTATCTCGCACTTTCTAGCTCGAAATTATATACGGGAACCGGTTACTCGTGAATGTTATTTATCGGTTCTACATTTCGCGTTCCCGTTGCCCAGTTTCAACTCTATATTAATTTGAATCTCTATATTAAACGTCTATAAATTCATCCTTCTTGTTCGCGCTAGAAGAAGAGAGAAGCCTATTATTCCAACATATTATATACTCTTTTACGAGGCGTCGAAATATAAAGGAGTTTATAGGATTATTGCAGTTGTGGCATTAACATTTTTCAAATCGAACGTGTCCGATTACCACCTTAAAGTCGCATTATCGAAATGCACTTATTTAAATTATTTACGATTTAAATTCTGAACGTCTCCTTCCAGGTGCGTCCACGGTGTGACCGCACGAGGAATCACGATGGCGGAGGTGGCGACGAAGAAATCGATCAATGTAGTAAGTAGTAAGAAGAGCGAGGTGTGCGGTGTTCAGTCTAACAACGGTTTGATTGATTTGGATGATTTAACCGCGAGTAACAACCAACTAATCTCATTGTGCGACGACGACGACGACGACGATCTCGTACTCACGAACAATACGCGTAACGAGCTCGATAACGAGGACAAGAGCCTGCAGGAGTTGATAGAGAGCGAGCTGGCGCTAAGGATTTGCTCGAGCAAGAGCGACGACGACGTCACCGAAGACCTCGAGGAGCAATCCGTCGTCACTCAACCGGAGACGATCAAGAGGATCGTCCTAGATCGTCGACAGGATCCTGTCGACATTAATGCGGAGTTTATAGCCGCCGAGAGCGAGCATTATTCACTGATCGAGGAACCCCATCAAAACGGTCACGTGTCCCCGAATGCCAATGTCGACATCGCGAAACCGGAACCGGTGTGTTTGCGCGACGAGAAGGAGGAAAATGTGCTCGTTGAGCAACCGGAAGTCCAGGCCGCATCGATAATTGTTCAGAAACCGTGCGACGACGATTGGCCGACGAGTCGAGACGAACCCATTGACAGCGAAGAGCATCAGGCAATCACCAAGGATCACGTCGTGCCTGCCACAGACGTCCCGGACTCTAGTAACGTCACGAGCGATCTCATCGACACGTCGATCTCCCAACCTTTGGAAACTTGTTCCGTACATGAGAAGGAGGAACTTGCACAAAAGATGCCGGACGACGCGAATCTTTGTTGCACCGATGTCAATCAAGAAAATGAAATGAATGCTCAAGACGTCGCTCAAGACACGTGCACTGAGCAAGCGTTGCTTTCGAGCAGCCAGCAGTTCTCCGACAACTTCGACGAAGCGCTCTACCAAAATCGAGATTCCAGTAAGCAGAAGTTTCCTTTCACGAACGAAGAATCTTCCGCGAATGAACATATCGAGAAGCTTGAGGATTCCTCCGGACATGTCGAGGAAAGGATTTCGACGTCGCCGATTTCTCAGGACAAACAGTCACCTTCCGAAATCATCGAAGAGGCAGACTCGAAGCTGAACGAGAAGCACGAGGAGGATTCTTGCTGCACCAGGAAGCAATTTGAAAATTTTGACGACGGTATCGTTAGCCAGTCTGAGATCACGGAGACGGCCAGTACGCAGGAGTTCCTCGCTATGGAGCGTCGCGTGCTGAGCGAGGAGGTCAACCAAGAAACGCCTCAGATCGTGGCATCGCCAGAGATCACCGGTTCATTGGCAACATCGGGATCGATCCTCGAGAGCGAACCCATCCCGGAGTGTCCGAAGGACATCGCGGAGGACGCGCAGAACCCGGTGGACGAATCCTCGAGCGAGTTGTCGGCTTCGGATTTGACATTCATCGAAAAGACCGAGATTGTGGTGTCGGACACGAGCGTGACCATCTTCTCGGAAACGAAGCGGATCGTCGAATGTGCCGACGAGAATTTGGACTCGTGGACCACGGTCGAGGAGGCTACGAAATCAGCCAGCGTCGAGGAGGAAGGCGAGACGGAACGCAGCGATGACGTTAACGAGGCGACGAGAGACGATAACGAGGGGAAAGCAGACGATTCGTTCGCGCCCCCCGCGTCCCCCCGCGCGCCCCTGGCCACACCGGACGAAACGGAGACGAGCGATGTTTCTAACGCCTGCGATGTAAGTGTGCTTTTTTCGTGAATTAACTCGACGCCCACGCACAACGAAACGGCTCGAAGGAAAGAAGGAGAGAGAGACTCGAACAGCCGACAAGATCTGTTTATATATCTGTATAAATCGAATCTTTGCACTCGCAACTATTTTCAGTGTTTAGGAATTAAAGTTAACGATATGTCACTATCATAAACTTTATGACAATGACATATTGATTTAATGTGAGTGCAAAGCGTTGAGAAAATTCACCGTTTTGAGTCACGGCACTTTCTTTCGAACCAATCGTTCCTACAGGTAAGAGTAAAATAATCGTTTTATTAGTAATTAATGTGCTTTGATATGCCCCTGATATTTTATCAATGTCGAGTAACATTACTGTTATCACCGTTTTAAAAATTGATTACTCTTTCTATTACTTATCATTAAAATAATGTCCGATTAATTCCGCGAAGAATAATTCCACGTTTCATTAACGTCTGACTATTTCACACATATACAGATCGTGTAATTTATGTATCTTGAAATTGATAGGGTTGTTTTCTGCTTTTGCCGGTAAAGAGCTGCGTACGCATAGAACGCGCCATAATTTAAGCAAGCGCGTTCGGATTTGCTTGTGTTGAATAATTCTTGCGAGTGCATTGTGAATCCACTCCTCCTAGCAATCTCCGCAAGACTAATTGCGCCATCGCTCTATGTAACTCCTACGCATGTTTTTACACGTTTGCGCGATTAATCTCGTTTATTCTTTTTTTTTTTTTCGATAACGTTTGCGTCCAGGTAAGCGATTCTCAGAACGCCCGCGGGATCCACATATAACGTGATGATACTCTCATCGACGTGCGTTGAGTTTTTAGTAAACTGATGTTCCTGTTATACAAATTATACGGCGATTGCTGAAACGTGTTACTATTAATCCGTTTAATTAATTTTCCAATTTTCGACGTGCTTGAAAAAAATAATCGAGAACGAGTGCAAATAATAATTAATAGCAGATAATCTCTTTTCCCGCTCCTTCCCTTATTTACCATTATCCATTCATTTCAACATTCCTGCACAATTGCAGCTTATGACTTGCAACATATCTTTCGCTACAACTCATTACTCGTAAAATACGAACCAGTATTATCTGTCTTCATCTCCTCATACCCTCGAAGGTACACCCTCTCACGATCAGCGGCGCGTGACGATCGCTCACGCCACAAATTTCATGCAAATGCAAGACGTACAACGGCAACGGAAGCCGGGTTATCAGCGCAAATTTTCGTATCAGTCCGTGAAACGTCGCTTATCATGCGGCGGTACAATGACATTTGCCTTCTTGGTCAAATTGATTTTCGAGAAATACTTAATCCTCGAAAGAGATATTTAATCCTTAATTGGTAACGTCCATTTTTCAACTCGTATATTTCATATTCTGTATATTCTGTTAAACTTGATACAGATAGCGCGATACAGATTTTTCACAAGAGATAATTTTCAATGGTTAATTTTACTGCTTGTGCAAATTAGGAAAATATAGAGGAGAGATAGTAAACGATTATATACACATAAATAATATAGTATTTTATCTTTGTTTCTTCCAACGCAATACAAAATTGTATTTTATTTCTTTTTTATTTAATTTAAATTTAGAATATTAAAAATTTTTAACAAATTCTCTTTTAAAGCACTATCATGTCTCGTCCTTGTTTTTATCAATTCCTAAATGAATGTCCTTCTTTTTTATTGAATTTTCATCTTTTATGAGACGCAATATCATCAGTTTTATGTCACCAGTTAAGGGCCGACCAAGATCGAGGTCAAAGTCGATCGTACGCTGCGTATTCTGTGCTCGTAAGAACGGCTTTTGTCGGCCGCTTGCTCCTCGGGACGTTCCACCTCGGCTCGGTTCTGCTGGCTTGAGCAGCGGTATCCAAAGAGCTCTCACTTGGCCAATCGGTTCCACGTGCCCGGTGGAAACGGCCAATCGGGAAGCGCGTGCCACGCTTTGGAGAGCATCGAGTTTCCTGAACCCGTTACGAGACGCGCACGCTCTCTTCGGGAGACGCGTTCCTTCGGTTCCTCAGACATATCTGAGGCACCTCGTGCGTCTCTTCATATCGCCTCCAGCGTTCCGAGGATGATCATCGATCAGGTACGACCTGGACGACGATCGTTTTGATCCATCAGTGCTGGTGCAGGTCGCTGATGGATTCGATCGCGAGCGGGGGAGACGATACGGTTGTTGAGCAAGAACATTCGTCTTTTTTCTCTCCGGTCCCCCTTATAGTTCTCTCCTTCTTTCTCTCTCTCTCTCTTTTCTTCTCTCTCTTTCACTCTACGTCACTCCCACTATCGCTTCGGTCGCCGGCCGTCTCGCTCGCACTTGAAATCCGGCTTCAGTGATTCCTTCTTTCTTTCTCTGTCCTTCGTCGACCTCGTTGCTAAGGTGGACGCGCGTCCGTCATTCTGAGTGCGTGGCCGGTGCTAGAGACTGCTAGGATAAGTTTGCGAACATTGTTTTGTATTTTGTGAACCAGTGATGATGTGATCGGCGTGATTGCCTTTCTATGGGAAAATTCTCGGAGAAAAGATCAAAAGCGACTATCTTCCGGTTTTCTCGGGATGAGAGTGAATAATTAAAACATAGCGTGGACTTTCGAAACTCTGCTTCCGTACTCTTTCGTGTCAGAGAGCGCGTAAGTATGGAAAGTAGACAGGCTGTGAAATATCGCAAAGAGATTTGCTATAAGTTCTGATTGTTCCGAAGATCTTTGAAAAACAATTGACAAAGTGCATCAAAATTATTATTAAGATTCAATATACAAGTGTTTGAACATTTTCCCTTTCTTTTGTATCGCGTTGTCAGGATACGTCCGATCAACATTCAAACGAAAGTAAATATAAACGACGACGGAAATCGGATGTCGTGTCATGCTGGTTTCTAATTCTCGAGGTAATTAATAGTCGAACGTTACACGTCGTCTTGATTACCGGTGGTGCGCATTATGTCACGGTTTTGCGTTACGCTCGCGTAGCTCATGCGTTCCGGAATATTGCTTTTCATGCGCGAGACTCTTATCGGAAGTCTTCCTTGTCGGGCAGTCATACTTGTCGAGCAATTAAGTCGTTGCGCATAAATCGTCTCGGGGCTCTATGAACACCCAGGCGCTCTTATCACGCAATTGCCTCTACGATACGTCAGTGTTGAAAACTAGTTCCGCTATATTACGAACGAATCAAAATCCGTTCATCGTTCCGGTTTGATGAAGAGAACGAGAGCGACGCGCTTCTCATTCTTTTAATTTATAATTCGAAAATTAACATCTTTTTTCCAATTTCAATTTATGATCTTGAGCTCTTTTTTTTTATTCGTGAGCGCGCTTAAACTCTTTCCTCTGATAATTATTCCGTTACCTCAGCGTGTTATCGTAAGACTCGGGTTATTACGAGTCGAACAATTACAACTCGAGCCGAGAATCACGTAGGCGGGTGACGCTTTAATTGCAGCGTGCGATATCGGAGCAGTTCCGCCCGCGCCGGAGAAACCATATGATTAAACAAATATTCCGTCGCAAATCTTGCCTTTCTAACGTGCAGATGATCGCGTTATACACGCTCACGTATATACACATCGCGAATGAAGTGCGCTGAGAATATGTGGCCGATCATCATCCCAAAGAGTAGTTTGCAACGGGATATTTGGATAAGCATTGTGTTGGAGCAATAATTCTGGTTTGCCTGTAAAGAGAATTTGCAGTCGAAGATTGTGATTTTTTAGATATTGCCTTATTTATATAAAATATGAGCGATAAATAATTATATTAAATAATTTATTGTGATAGATAAAGATTTGTGATATTGTGGTTTTTCTATAAAGATAGGAAAAAAGTATCTTAAATTTTTTTAAGGAAGAACCGCGACTCTTTTATCGATAAAAACCGTGCAATTTAATTTATTATTTCTTTAGCACGTTTTCTAACTTACATTTTCCGCATCGTTTAGTATATTTAGTAAATCTTATTAAAAAATAAAATTTTACAGAACGGGAGATAGACTTTTGACAAAAGTGTTAAGCAAGGGAGATTTATTTTTTGCAACAAATTGTGGATCAAACAACAAAAATAACGTAAACAGTGCGTTAATATTATTTTTTTTTTCTTTCACTGCCCCATACATGTTTGACGGAAAGATTGCGTTACAATACCGTGAAATTGATATTATTGCTCGCAAATCACACTCGTTGGGCGAACGTAAACTTTCATGTCCCACCGCAAAGCCCGCGTTTCACTTACGTCGACGTGCGCAATAAAGTCCATTGAATCCCAGAGCGGCACAATAGCTGAATCTAATTTCCGCGATCCTATATTCCTTTCCGGGAGACCCGCGAGTGCCACATACGATATATGTAGTCACGAAAGAAATATATTCGGTATATCTCTAACGGAAGGAATTACCATTAGCATTTCCATTTTAATTGTTCGAGACGCGCGAAGAATCCCAGGGCGAGAATGCCATAAGAAAGGTTCAATCTCAGGTGTTCTAGATTTGATGTATTTACTCATTTATTACCTTCTTCTTTTCGTTGCAGAGCGAGAGCCGCGAGGAAACGGTGACCGCCAGTTCCACCGTGGTGACCTCCTCGAAGGTTGGAACGAAAACGAAGAAGAAGAAGATCGAGGGCGTCGCAGGTAACGATGCCACCTCGCCGAACCTTACGCCGCGCACAAAGAAAACCAAGAAGAGCAAGAAGAGCGATCTCGAGAAAGAGAACATCTCCGTGGTAAGTGATAAATCGTTTTGATAGATGCGCACGCGCGTGTGAGTGTGTATGTGTGTACGTATATATGTACGGGATGTCCCGCAGCTATCCGTTCACTCGTACGGATTCTCTAATAGCCGACTCGAAAGAAAATCTGATAGGGCGTCAAATCGAAGTTCCGTCGAATTAAAGTTATCATCGATGTATCGACGTTTTTTTTTTGTTAGAAAAACAATTGGATCGATGAATGAAGGAAATCAGCGATTATTCCGGGACACCCTGTATATACGTTTTGCAATATAAGCGCTATGTTTGCTAGTTTATTATGTTTTGTCGCGTCGATTATCGACACGGCGTATATATGTCACCGCGATTTCTTATCCAATAAACGCCGATTATTCGTGATTATCGGCGGTTACTCTAGAAACGTAAGTGAGGGCGGTCCTCCGACATGCGAAATGCGCGGGTATAAAATAACCGTGCACAGGAACCGTTATCACGTTAATTATTGCTTTGCTCGGTAACTCTTCGCCGACGGTGAAAACCGGAAACTCGCATTTTTCGTAGCTCATCTTCATACGCCGACTTTTCCGGATTTCGTCGGCACAGATATAGGAGCGAGTTTTCTATTTAGCTCCTCTTGGAATCAGAGATCCGATATGCTATCGAAGCGCTGATTAAGTGGAACAGCGAACGATATCAATTGAGATTGCGACGTTTCCCTTTGCAGACTACGTGAGCGCGAGCTTTTACTTCCGTTCCGTGTATCATCCTTTATAACGTTAACGTGTCGATGAAAAAAAAAAAAGATTAGTATTGATATTATACAAAAATTGATTGACTCAGCGAGATTTGAATACATTACAAGCGGCTAAGCAATTCGTCATCAATTGCAGAGGAAAGATTTTAAAATTTTATTATTGTTTCATTATGACTGTTACTATTTATGCCTTGAGTCATAAGGTAAACTTACAACTGCTCGAACAGAAACAACTTTAGTAATGATTTCAAAACAGTATTCACAACAATCGTGTTATACAAATCTTATTCCTTGATTATGTCAATTAACGGTATCATGGGATGTGTCTTGTTTATCGCGTGAGTATAATATACATATATGTGAGTATATATGTTTAGAATGTGCCGAATTTTTTTTTTTTTTTATTTTGTGTCACCAACCTAATTGTGCATATAAATTTTCTTTTATTTGCGAATTAGCTCTCTCTTGCAAAATATCGGTTCAATTACGCGTATCTGTGCTGATAAAATTGCATAAATTATTTGTGTTTGTAAACAGCAAAATGCGATAAATTTATTATCGTAAATGCATTGCTTTTTATATCAGTGGCTCGTGAAATTTTTTATCGAAGAATGGATTTCTTTTCTAATTGAAATAAATAAATTCGTGAACGAAATTCAGTGGAATCGTGAAATTAAGTGTTTTCTCGCTTACATTTATGAAATTCGAATTCTGAAAAATACATACATAAACAAAATTAATGCAACATATGATAATTATTTTTGTCGTTTGATATCTCATACGCGACTAATGGCTCGATGCAAATTAGCGTAGACGCAGCTTATTAATCTCTCACTGTTGCATGCTCAGTGTGTTTGTGTTTCTTTTTTTTCATCAGAACTGTAGCTTACGAGACGCAAGCATGCATACGGGTACTCGGCGATCGCATTCAGAGATGATCGATTTCTCCGACGAGGACGATTTATCGAACGTCAATGTTAAGTCACTGGTAAGTTGCGCTATAAAGCGTATTGCCCGAAAACTAACCGCAAACTAATAATTATAATCGAGATGTCATTTAATCTTTACGAATCTTAATCTAATTTTGTTATTAACATTATATATCTGGAAAATTAATTTTTGGTATCAAATAGTTTACATGATTATATACAGAATGTTTCAAAATTATCTGATGTCCTTTCATCTTTTTACATTTAAATTTTTGCAAACGGAGCAAGTCAATTCTTAGAATCTGTCAGCATAAAATACATCTTTGACACATTTAACGTAAACCTTAATTAAACACTTAGTATTTTCTCTTTCTTCTCGTTTTCTTCGTTTCTCTCGGTACAGATCTTTTTTAGTGATGTATTTTACATGTTTATTATGTATTTTACGTTTGCGAGAGATGCTATCTTCTAGCTTTAATTTTTTGCAAATGAATAAACGCATGCACGAGACTTATCTGAGTCCTCATTTCGCGAATTACTAGACACGATCGCGGAAATAACGGCTGGCGCAGCTCTAAATAATTAGCGTGCTATCACGCTAAGCAACTAAGAGTTACTTTTTGCGCGATGTCTGATTAAGGGCGTCGATGAGATTACATTGTCACTTTCGGGAATTGCGTGCGTAATTTTGCTCTTACGCGAGTAAGTAATGAGAACAAGTAATGAACCAACACACGATCGAGCGCGTTTTATAAAGTCGCTTTTTACGAAAAAGAAAGTTATAGTTTCTTTTTATGTCATTAAATCGGAACGAATCGTTCAAAGAAATGACGATTGGTATTAACATATAATTAAGTAAAATGCATATTCCGTGCGAAATTATTCCGTGTAATCATGGTTTACAGCGCGAGATCGCGCAAAAACGCACTTTAGCGGACTCAATATTCGTTGTTTGCATGCGTATACTCACCGATCCGCGCCTGCATTTTGTTCTTCTTCTTTTTGCGCATGCAGACACAGAACTATGTCTCGGAGACGAGCCGTAGCGATCAGGAGAAGTTGTCTAGAGAACGAATCGCGACCGGCGTGTCCATCAAGCAATTAGTAAGTAACATGTAGATGATTACATATATATGTATATGTTTACATTTACAGCGAAATATGTGGAGATTAATACAGAAGAGATAAGCTCGTTGTTTTATCGAGCATTTTTTTTTCTATAAGATAGAAAGTACCTCGTTTCTTTTTCTATCGATAAGATTGATAATCATTTCATACGCTTTCGCCGCAAATTTGCTTCGTTAATAGCCGATACATTTGTCAGATGTATTTTGTCACTAACAGTGTCGCAGCTTTGGCGACATCTCGAACATGAGCGACGGCGATCAGGCGGCTTTTGGGAAAACGAGCCACGCGGTGGAGATCGAAGAGGTTTGTATACATAATCTATTATAATCCGTTCAAACGTGCATCAAATGTTACGTAAACGTAATGTGTTTGTTTTGTCTTGCTCATTGTAGTCGAAAAAAATATTATAAGCAACAAATTTAAGTACAAAATGCTCATCTTTTTATTCAAACTAGAAAGGTTGAGAGAAACTTTTTTTTATACAAAATAGGATAAAATAGAATCTTGAAATTATTTTTTTGTTTAATAAATGATTTTAAAGATAAGATTATTTTAATAGCTTTATGACAATTTTCTTGAATAACAGAATTTTTTTAAATTTTCTTGAATAATTTCTTGAATCTATTTCTTAATAGAGTCTTTATAAAATTTTATTTTTTGCATAATCAATATTTTTTTATATTTGTAAAATAAATTTACTCGCAATTTCTTTCTTACATTTAGTAACAAAATAAGAAGAGATTGCGCCGCATAAAATTTGTGCAAGCATGCGAATGCTTATTAACGATGTCGCAAATTAGTTTTCGGCATAATATGTACGACAGGAATGAGGAATGCATTATCTAACTTTTGTTACTGCATGAGCCACTTCCGATATTTGCTTCATAACGTGGCGATTATCCAAATTCTAAACAAATAATATAAACATTTTAATAATATACTAATCACACATCTAGAGCGCGAGTTCTGTGACATGAAGTGCTGATTTAATGCATAACATTTTTGTTCTAAAAAATATTATTTTTTTTATAATACAACAGAATTTTTGCAACAAAACATAGTCTTGTATATGTTGATTAATATTACGCAAATAATATTTTATCAGATTTTATTGCACAATTAAGAATATAGATAACAAAATATTATAATATTTCAAAAATTATATGCAGCATGAAATATCTTCATATCTTCACTTTGAATAGAAAACTTTTTCTCGTGTCTTTAATAAGACGATCCATTATCGCTTACGATCGATATTTCACAGAACTCGCGTCTCTCTTGAAACGACTCACCGCTAATTTGTATTCTCGTTGACGCTCTCTCGCTCGTAGAAAGCGAGGTCGATGGGTGACCTGAGAGTATGCGAGCAGGGTTACACGAAATTCACCAAAGACGCGCCCGTCTTCGCCGGGGTGTCGGTCAAGGCCCTCGTAAGTACCTTTTGTACGTGACACGGACAACATCGGAATCGGCCGAGCGACAATGGAGCGATGGATCGCGAACCCGATCTAACGAAACTGTGTATCTTTTATCGCGGCTCGTGATCGGCAATTTCTATCCGAGAGTAACGATTTATAGAGCGGTGGGCGTGTAATTGTTTTATCCTATCCGGTATTTGAAGGCCATCGCTTATTTGCCGCGTTCCCATTAATCGCGAATAAAATCAAACGAACGAAAAAATAGTAATGTTGCGTTTTACAAGAGTCAATTTATAACATTTGCGATCATTTCCGTGGAAATGGAAGGCGATTAATTTCTATTGGCTTTAAAGCATGGGTTTTAGTGTTTGAATAATTTAACAGCTCTCACGCAGAAAGTAATCCGATCGATAACTGACAATGGACAAAGTTGATCTCGCTGTTGACATAAATCTGTATCTTATCTCTTTAACGCCTTTTATTAATTAATTAAATTTATTTCGTAGAAACATGGCATCATTCAAACTTGATAAGTTAAAACTACAGAAGATTTAACTTTCATTTAATCTCATAATTTCTTAATAATACGCAAATCTTTCGTCGGAAAGCGATCTGAGAAAGGAATTTCGGTAATATGGGTTCTCTCCTTGAATGAGCACTCGGTCAAGTACAGTGTGCTCCGAGAACTCGCATGCACACCGGAATAGTTCATTCCATCGCGCCGCGAATGCCGTCTCTCCATTTATGGAAGGGCCGACTTGATAATAACCCACTACTCATTTGGCCTACTTCAGCCGATTGCGTGGAAATGCGAACTCCGGATGGAGTTTTTTTGCTCCATCCGCCGATTATCGGTTATCCGGTTATCGGGTTTTCGGTGCACGACTTCGCTCCCGGCAATGTCGACGGGGCACGTGCGCCCCGTCGAAATTTCACATACTCGCCTGCGTTTTCCGCCGTTTTAGATCCGAATATGGGAAAGGAAAGCGGGAAAAGCGGGTCAAACGTCTTCGCGAGAATTAACGCATCGAGGTTGCAATGTTGCTAAATATGTCGCAAAGAATGTTAGAATTGTTAGAATCTTTATTTTAATTGCAAAATATTGAGATAAGCTAGAGTGACTGCCAAATAAAAAAAGTAGAGCCATGGGTAATCAATAATAAATGTGTGTGTAAACAATAAATATATCAAGGAATTATAATTTTAAATTTTTTTAGATAAATTAGTAATAATAAAACGCGATATTCATCTTTTATCCACACACATTAACTTTCACCATAACGTGATCTAAGGAGTCTTGCTCCGATCTTATCGGAAAATTGTGTTACCGATGAAAGACGTTTGATTAAAATCCTTTTTATTCCAATTAAAGAAAGAAAGAAAGACGTAATTCAATATAATTTGATTCTATGATTCTATGCGACGCATAGAGATATATCGTGTTAACGATAATGCCATCCCATTAAACGTTTGTGATCGTATCGCTTTGTTAAAGAAAGCTTACTGATGCGACTGATAGAGCGTGACGGTGCCGAAAGCAAAGACGATTCGAGATGAAGCGAGTGAGCTCGCGAAATGATCGGCTGACGCGATTTAACGAATAAATTCCGTGCTACTTCCAATGTTGTCCTTTGTCGTTCATTTTGTTTGTTCCCTTTTCCCTTTGTCGTCTGATGCAGCAGTTGGCAAAGTTTCGATCGAGGCGATTAAAACGCCTCGCACGCAGACGAGGGAGAAGCCGCGCGTATTCCCCAAGGTCCATAGATATCAGAATTTAAATTTAAAAAAAGTTGTTTCTTCAAAAGAGACCGATAAATCGTACATAAATAATTAAAGGCGTAAATCACAGACTGCGAACGAAATATTGAGAATAGAGAAAGACTGCTTAACAATGTGTGGTGTCGTCCGTAAAGCAAATATCTTTGCTTTACCGGCGGTCCTTCGCGTAAGATCGCCTTCTCCCTCGCTTGCTTCAAGGACGTGCATTTTATATTGAGTGTACGGCATACAGAATGTACGTATGCTTAGAAAAAAAAGAATTAATACTCTCGGACGTAAATATTAGCGAAGACTCTCGAGCACCGTCTCCGCCTCCGACGATGATGATAATGTCGTCGCATATATACTTGTCCTCGGCCGCGTGAGGGCTATCTACCTGCAAATTATGATTTTAAAATTTCCGACCGCGTCGTTGGCGACGCCATAACCGTGGATAATGAGTATAGCTAACTGCTGCATTCCGTGATAAGTATTCGAGTACCGTATTTCGCCTGTTGTTCGTTTTTACGCTACCGTTTTACTAACTCGCGGCTACCATCTCTGTTCTTCTCGACATCTACCTCTTCCCGGCATGCGAAACCCTAAATTGACAATCACTGAAATCGACCCCGGGGGACAGAGGGCTTCCTACTGTAGTTTGGCAAGCTTAACGAGCGAGGGTAAGGACAAGGATCGTGCATGCGAGAAGCCGAAACTCGAGGTAAGAAAAATATTGACAAGAGAGAGAGAGAGAGAGAGAGATAAAGCGCGATAAGATCGATTCGTACAGAGGTTTGACTTGACCCAGAGTTTTTGACTGCTTTTGCCATCTTTTTCTCAAGAGAGAAAGAGAGATATATGCTTCGCTTGTTTAGCTTGCGATTGATTTTTTCTGCCTTTCTCAGACCTTTGTACGAACTTCTCGGAGAATCAATGTTACTCTTTTGTAGAGACTAAAAATTGCGATAAAACTGATGCAATTTATGATGTTTATGAAAATACGTATTGTAATAATTGTGTATAATTAACATTAGCTCTCTCTGGTACAAATTATTCTCTTACAATAGAATATATCAATCTTATACCAAGGTCCAAATAAATTTTAATATTTTAATGATGTTGCACGTGTAATTTTCATTTCCATATACGATGATAATTTTTGGAATTTGTTTCTTTCTTTCTAATCTACAACCATTTTTCCTTGCTTCGTTGTTATTTTGAGAATAGTTAAGGGTTGCGGAAGATAAAATTTTCCTGCTCCGTAATAATGCTAGAAAAAATGTTTGTTTGCAAAATTTCTCTTTCCTTTTTATCTCTTTTCTTTTAGCTTTCAGATTTGTAGTATCTATTTTCTGACAAGATCACTGTTTATATTTACAGAAATCAAGCTTTAACAAATTCGACGCTCTCACCAAGAAGACAGTTCTGCACGTACGTTCGGTCGATGCAGGAAAAGTGCAACAGCAGCTAAATGCCGTAAGTCTATCTTTCTTTCCGTTACTCGCATATTGTCAAACTCCGAAAACATATATATCGTTTTTACATAAAATATTTTACAAATATAATTAAAAAAATAAGAAGAAACGTAAAACACGATTCGCTTACAATCAGAAATTTATAAATCCTTTATTTGATATCAAAATTATATTCAAAGTTATATCTTATCTGTATCTTACACATTGCACTAAAATTGTCTTTTTTTTTTTTTTTAAATTATCGTCTTCTGGATGCAATCTGTTAAACTCTCGCTCTTAACGCACATACTTAAGTACACGTTTAACCGGGAACGAGACGGTGCTGGAGAAAATCACCTGCTCGTCTCTCGTAAAGAGGCGGCGTAGAGAGTGAAAGTCGCGAAAGGCGCTAATGAATTTGACGCTTTGACAGGTGGGTCAGAGCGGCGATGCGAATACGAATTGTCGCAGCTGCGGCAAGGTCGTGTTTCAAATGGAGCAGACAAAGGCCGAGGGTCTGGTCTGGCACAAGAATTGCTTCCGGTGCGTGCAGTGCGGCAAACAGCTCAACGTGGACAATTACGAGAGCCACGAGAGCACGCTCTACTGTAAGCCGCACTTCAAGGAGCTCTTCCAACCGAAACCGGTCGAGGAGTCCGAACAACCCGGTAAGATGATTACTATGTCTCGCGCGAGCGCATACGCTTTTCACAAGCCGCGGCCCCGCGTTAATCCGCTTAAACGGATCGCTCTCTCGCGAATATTACACGTTAAATCTTAACGCGGATACTTAACGATCGATGTCGATCTCGTCGTCTAGCCGCTAATCTCTCGGCGAGGAGGACTTTGCGCGGATAAAGAACAGGCCGGAATGTATTAAAGTAACGTAAACGCATGAGATACGTTTCGACGGGAAAATTGGAAGAGATAAAGTTGGTTCTCGCGGTGCTCGTAAATTTCTTTCGCTTTAATGATTAGCCGGGGCGTTCGATTAATCCCAGCCGCTCGTCGCAGGTTTTTGTATTTTTTTTTTTTTTTCCCCGGTAACAAGATATACGTTCAGAGATGAGTATGTAGAACAATTGAAAGCAAGGTTGCATTCTTGATGTAGAGATAACAGAGAGGAAGTTGTACGACGTCAGACAAAGACAGAGTAGTGCATAAGGGGATCTACATGTAGCATAATGCTGTGTTAATTGCTGGCATAACTTGCCGAGTATACGTCGTCGCGGACTTACTTTGTTATAAGCTCTTAGAGTATAGAGAATAAAATTACAGTGTCCTCTTTTTTCTCTGTCCCTCTCCCCCGTATAATTACATGCGTGCACACGCGCGCGAAGAGAATGAGTGGTATCGTTAATACGACAAAGAGTTTGTCTTGTGAACCCCGCAGTGCGACCTCGAAAGCCGGAGCTGATCATACGGGAGAACGAGCCGAAAGAGTTGCCACCCGATGTGGTCAGAGGTAACGATATTCGACAGGCGTGTGCGTGTGTGTATACGTGTGTGGAACGCGATCTGGAGATTGCTCCTAACATTGCGTGTCCCTTTTGGCGAGTGGCTTCTTTAACCATTGATTGGCTCTATCAGATCGAAAAATTATCTGTGCATCAAATCGTGTCTCAGCATCAGCGTTTTCGATTAATAGAACATAGGGGATGTGAATTTGTTTTATCGTACCAAAACGAGGGTCGATATTTGTTGGTATATTTTACAAAATTACGAAACAGCTAATTCTACCGTCAACAGTAATATTAATCTTTTTTTTTTTTTGCATGAAAAATTGCAGTGATCAATATAATTTGGTTAGCAATAACGCTATTAACGTTTTAAATTTGCTTATAAAATTTTCTTTAATTTTTTAACGTATTGTATATATTAATTTTATCTTATTTTACATTTGTTGTCAAGATTCTTTGAAAGATTTATTATTAAATATTTGTCATAGCTTATAAGATATCTAGGAAGCTGAAATAAAAAATACATACAATTCAATTATAACTTTTTCGTTTGCGTGGGTAAAAGATCATCAAAATCATATATTATTTTATATATGACATTACTAATAGCTCGCGAGGAATAAGCGGTATCTGATACCTCATCATAAGTATGTATAACATCCACGAGAAAATAAAAAAATTATATGAGTTGTAATGTGATCTACATAACGTGACTATACGCTATCTTATCGAGGCGATTGCCTCTTTTTCTTTTTAACACTAGTTCTTTTAACAAGATTTTCTTTTATTTTGGACGCTTTTTAGAATTTTGTATCGTGTGTGCAACTTTGTCTTTTTCGCGAATCAGCGTGTTCTCGTGTGGCGGTCTAACAAATCTACCGCCGAGGAGATAGAGTGTCTAAATGTTTGAACAGGAGCGGAAGAGAGCATCGCGGGGAGTGAAGTAAAGAGATCTCTTCTCTAAATTTTTCAGCTTCCGACAAACCCGATCTAGGACTCGAGGAGCTCTCAAGCTTAAACGTCAAGTCGCGCTTCCAAGTCTTCGAGAAAGCTAGCGCAGAGAACGTCAATGAAATCGAGAGATCGCCGTCGCAGATCGCCGTCAAGAGATCGCCCAGCATCCTCAGTAAATTGGCCAAGTGAGCAATCAATGACTGATTTCTTATACGAGGTGTAAAAACGCTGACTAAAAATCTATCCAATTGTAATATATTCACAGAGTAGAATTTCACATTATGTCTACGTACTAGCTGATTCGAGTCACGTCTCACTTTTCGACCATATACGGCTCTCTCTTTGTTAATCTTAAACCGCGATATCTTACCGTGACACAGATTTGCTTCCGTAGGATGCATAATGATGAGTCTGTAATTTCGTAGGGCTGGCATTCCTCGGTGAGCTAGTAATATTCTCCATCGTGTTTATTTTTTATGTAAAGGATTAAAATAATAATATTCGAGTAATTAAAAGTAATTAAAATTTTGATATACAAGCAAATAATAAAAATATTATAATTATATTATTACACTTCTGAATGTAATAATTACAAAAAAAATCGTCTTTTATTAACAAATTAGTATTTATCGAAATAGAAACGCATTAAGAGAAATTTCAAGATTTTAATTATGATAATTATGTGAGATGTCGAATATAAGTCTCACCGTTGAAAATCTTATTAATCTACTTCGTATACGACACAACCGGTACGAGCGACATTTTCGCGGTATTCAGCAGTCAGCAGTTTTCTTTTCATAACTTGAAACTCGAGAAAACACGCGAGCAACAGAACATGTTACAAGCGTAATCGGAATATCTGTAACCGCCTTGCATGTCTTCTCATGCAGATTCCAAGCGAAAGGCATGGATATTGGCGTGGCGGACGAATCTCTCAATGGCATACCCTACGAAGAATCGAGCGAAAGTGAAGACGACGTCGAAACCGAGGAGACCGAAGGTGAGATAAATGAGAAGATATTGCAATCAAAGAAAGACACGCCATTAAAATTTTATATCATAAATTTATTAGATTTAGCACGAATGTGAATTTCTCCCTTAATTTAAAACTAAATTTAAAACTTTTTCTTTTTTTTCCACTAAACGTTTTTTTCATACATGTTCTTTTCATGCTGAATTTGTATTAATTTTTTCGTAATATTTTTCAGAGGTGGAAAACGAGATCGTGAAGGCAAAACGTACCACGCGCGAACGACCGATCAGTTTCTCAAAGATGGACGACATCAAGAATCGTTGGGAATCCACCAGTCAACAGGGAAGGCGCGAGATTCAGCGCGAGGCTAGGAAAGAAGAAATCGCAGGAATCCGCTCGCGATTGTTCATGGTAATTTACCTCTGTAAAAATAACCAGATAAAAAAATAATTGAATGTAATTATTTCAAAAGAAAAAAAAAACTTTTTTTTTTTTGAGAAGATAGTTTTAGTACATCACACTAGTTATTTATTATTATTCTTTTAATATCGCAATACGTTCTCTATTATAATTTTTCTCTCCCTCTTTTTCTCTGCTTTGCAGGGTAAACAGGGTAAGATGAAGGAAATGTATCAACAGGCAGTAGCCGGAAACGACCGCGTCACGAAGATAAATGCGGCGGAGGAGATCCAGCACTCGACTGCCCACGCTCGTTCCATCAAAGAGAGATTTGAACGGGGAGAGCCAATCGCGACTTCAGACGACGAAATCGACAGTAAACCGAAACCGGAGAAAGCCGACGAGGAGGTGATCGCAGCAGGTACAAATTGATATTTTCACTAATTAAATGACTTGCGAATTGAGAGCTATTGATACAAAAAGAGATATAATTATATCGCCAAAGAGATCGAAGAAATATTTAATCGAAAATACTATATTACAATTATATGAACGTAGAAACGGAAAGGAATTGTGATAATTGGAAATATATATAATAAAAGATCTATTTGCAGTGAAAATTACAAAAAAAGAATATCATCGCTTGTATCGTTTTATGTTTCGAAGTCAACTGAACTATCGGTAATTATAAATGAATGAAAGTAATATATGAGGTGAGATTTGAATAAAAACCCAATATTTTTTAATAAGATTTATTTTACATTCGTACTGCTGTCAGGAATTAAGAGAAAAGCTTGAAAGAAAGCAACTAATATTGCTTATAATATACGAGAGATTAATGCAAAAACTCTTTACAGAATAGAAGACTGTGTTAAGAGGTCATATTAATATTCAATGGTTTTTGTGAGATTTATTTTTTGTTTCGGATAGAGACAGACCATTATAAGTTGAGCAGGAAGTCGCGATCGCTCTTTTTGGAACTGGACGCTACTGCAGCGAAAACAGGACGTCCAGTAACGCCAGTACATCCGAAGACGCCAACCGAAAACCCACGACGTGCACGTCAAGGAAAAATACTGTATTTGAGACAAACATATCCGCTTTTGCGCAAGAGATATGAAACGTAAAAATATTTGCGCGATATACAAATGTCATCGCGTCTATAGTGACGATAATTTTCGAAATATCTGCGAAAAAGGCGTTCATGGGTCGTCAAGTCTCAGACGATGTGGTACGCAGCTCAGATGCGACCGAGGAGGTTCACGTAGAAACGTCGGAAATTTCAAACAAGTTCAAATTCTTCGAGTCCTACAAGGAACCGCAGAAACAGCGAAAGCAGTTTCGCATCACGCCTCCTCGCGACGGTCAAGTCAAGGTTCGATCCTTCGACTTTATTGTCGTTGATTGATTCACGCTTCTCTCTGTGTAATTTGATCTAACAAATGCGTGTGCGTGTTAACTAATTAAGTAATTGCATAATGTATCGCATTACATACTCGGTGGAATACGACTTTCTAATTTTTTTGATTTATTATTCGATTAAGTCGCCTCCAAGATTCATCTTTGAAATCTTTTAGACAAATCTTTAATTTGTCTGCTAAAATTACAAGTTCGTAACAAGTTCTACGTATTTTAATAATATAATTTATACAATTTATTTTTAATTTGAAAAATATTAATTTTTTGGTTATTAAAAGATTTACTCTTTTCTCAAGTACATATATTTGTTAAAAAATTATATTTTTTAAACATTTAATTTAATTTAATTTCTCAAAGTAAGAGACTCTGGAAATTCTCTTTATTATTAGCTATTATTATATATTATATTATTTATTCATATTATCCGATGTCGCTCAGTTTAATACTCAAAGCAAAAGTTGCGTCAAGGAAAAATACTGTATTTGAGACAAACATATCCGCTTTTGCGCAAGAGATATGAAACGTAAAAATATTTGCGCGATATACAAATGTCATCGCGTCTATAGTGACGATAATTTTCGAAATATCTGCGAAAAAGGCGTTCATGGGTCGTCAAGTCTCAGACGATGTGGTACGCAGCTCAGATGCGACCGAGGAGGTTCACGTAGAAACGTCGGAAATTTCAAACAAGTTCAAATTCTTCGAGTCCTACAAGGAACCGCAGAAACAGCGAAAGCAGTTTCGCATCACGCCTCCTCGCGACGGTCAAGTCAAGGTTCGATCCTTCGACTTTATTGTCGTTGATTGATTCACGCTTCTCTCTGTGTAATTTGATCTAACAAATGCGTGTGCGTGTTAACTAATTAAGTAATTGCATAATGTATCGCATTACATACTCGGTGGAATACGACTTTCGCTAAAAAAAGGATTTACTCTCTATCGAGTTAGAAAAAAAAAAAAAAATATAATAAAACTCGCTTGATCAAGTAACTGATGTAAAAAGAAACGTGTATAAAATTATTACGTTACTAAAAATAATGCTTTCAACAACTATATTTCTTTTTCGATATTTTCTTTTGCATAGTTTATTTTTATCGTATTTCAAATGCAGCATATTATTACTCACGCAATGACGTTATTTCTCGCTGATAAAGACTTTTTGATTATCGATAAAGCGGCGATATATGTACAGATATCTTGAAACATTGATTTACATCGATATTAACGATACGAGGCTAAAATGCGCGAACATAAATATAAGTTTTCGGAGAAACAGCGTGATCTCATTTCCAATTAAGACCGCAGAAATATTTGCAGTCAAGCGTGTTTGCCTGTTTCATATTGCATCACGACTTTAACCATCATCTGCAGTTTTATGTTTTAATACTTTATTTTTAATTTAATATTAACTGGTTTTGTTACTTTCCCCGATTAAATGGCGCCCCTTGCGTTAAATAACTCGTGTTACTTAACAGAACTACTCAAAACTGTCTCATAATGATCGACTCCAAAATATATTGTTAAAAAATTTATCATTATTAGACTCAAGCTCGAAAACAGCCTATATATAGTTAAAAAAACTATGGTCATTTTTCTAAAAATTGGAAAACTGTCCAAATCAAACAATATGAAGTAATAGTTATAATAACTAACTCTCTTTAAAATATGATTTATTTATATTTTAATGCACTATGTACACACAACTACAATGCGTTTGAAAAAAGATAAGAGCCTCCTGAAAAAATATTATGTTGCGATAAAATTTTTTAAATCATGTTTTTTTATAAATAATATACCCAATATTTTTCAAGAAACAAAATATTATGCTCTCGGAAAATATTCTAAAATAATTTTAATTCCAAATACACAAAGTATTTAGAATGAAACACTTTTATGAAATATTTATTACTCGCAAAAGTCGTTTATCTCGCATCCGAAAAACAGGAACCCCCCATTTCTCTCTCTCTCTCTCTCTCTCTCTCTTTTTCTTTCTCTTTCTGTCGGTGCATCCCTTTGGAATGCGCGTCTATCGATAATTATCGGAGCGCGATAACGAGATCTCGGCGTCGCTCGCGGACGCAGCTTATAATAAAAGGCCCCCTGTATGAAGGGTCCGGCGATGCGTCGCGCACACAAGAGCGAGTCGACGTTCCAACAAACCGGGCTGTCCTTGAACCCCCCCGAAGTGGTCAGCGCAGCAGCAGCAACAGCAACCATACTTTTACCGTTAGTATTCCTGCGTCCTTCCATTCGTGAAGAAGCAAACGGGCAACGAGCAGACCGGGAACTCGGCGGGCCCCGGGGACCCAACCAAAGGAGGGCGCGAGTGCGCGCGCGCGCGCGCGCGCTCGAGACGAAGCCCCCCTCATCGTCGGTAACTCACACACCCGAAGGGGAGGAGTACATATTCGTCGTATCCTCCTCGTGTGAACGGCATAGCAACCGGCGACCGGCTGTCGCGACGAACTTCTCACGAACCGGAGAAAGAGAGTCTCCCTCGAGAACGCGTCGAAGGTGGCAGACCGTTTGAGCGACGACGCTCAGTCTTCATCCGCTCGCCGAGGAAGCGTTATTAAATATTGCGGAAAGGTAATTATCGCGATCAAGTCGCATTCCGTAATTACGATCGTCGAAAGTACTGAACTTTTGCGGTACATATAGTCTCTCAAGATTTCTCTCGGTTGAGGATCTCTCGGTGTTTGACCGGCGCCATTAAAAAAAGCGACGCGAATTAAAGTTTCTAGTTGACAGTTCTAGTTTCAGTTTGACAGATAATCGACGCTCTGGTTAATAACATTTCTCTGCAATCGCGATCAATTCTGCATATATTCTTCGGCGAGATACTGTGATCGTGATTATTCGAGATTTTGTTAATTAATGATTATCTGGTGTCTGTGCGACGCGTTTGCTGAGAGCGATGGAGATTCTCTAACAATTAACGGAAACATAATTAATGGCGTTGAACGCATCAGTTAATAACGTGCAATTGCGATCAGATTTTTTCAGAATACCGCTTTTCTTAAATAAAGATCGTTCGATGTTTGAATAACGCATTTTTATCCGAAATTGTCGGCGAAAGTTATTTAGACTGAAGATAATTAACCATCTGTTTAATTAACTGTGCATTCGTGCTCGATATCTCGACAAAATCAGCTTCTTGCGAATATTGTGCTTAGTATAGCGATATATAGTACTCCAGATCTTATCAACAGCAAATTATTCTATATTGAGTGATACATCTTATATTTCGCTCGTAAAAGAAGTGTAAATTGCGCGAGAAACTCTGATATGAAAGTTTCAATTATCATATTTAGAGAGAGAATTATTAATACACATTGCGCGTGTTATCGCGCAATGTGTTCCCATCGAATTGTTGATTGTTTTAATTGCTTTTCAACGTACACATGTGTACGTACAATCGAGATCTTTTTTTCTGACTTCGCGTTGCGTTTCCGTTGATGGTAATCTGTGAAGGAACGGACGTCGCTCGCGGGGCGCAATCTCGTCGTCGCGGCTTGATTTGCCGCTTGACGTGCCGGGAGAAGGATACCGTGTGATCAAATATCCTTTCTGGACTGGTGATTTTATGGAATTCCGCTGGAAGTACGCTCCCGTAGCTCCTCTCTCGCTCTATATTACTCCGATATGAAGTCCGACTTAATATGAAATCCGGCCACAAGAATCGTTGTATCAAAACGTTGCTGTGCGTTGCCCTCGATACACCTTAATTAAAAATCATAGCCTCCGTGTTAATTAGCCAAATTAAATTCTTTAAAAGCACGCCGGAAATAGATAAATCTTTTTTCGAGAATATATCTACTTTTTATTTCCGATTCTCCATTATTTATATTACATTTTTATTTAATTATATTGTCTGTTTTTATATTGATCGATAATTATTCTATAATATTTATATTTACAATATTTATAATTTTGAATTAACATATGATAAAATGATTTGCTCATATGTAGCTTTATGTGATGGGAATGTCCTCAATTGCAGACTAAACACGATAAATACCGGGATTCTCGCGTAATTCAATAGAAACCCGCGGCCATTATTGATTTTCCATTTCCTGTCGCTTTCAACTAAAAGTTCTCTGTGGAGTTAATTCGAATTTAACATGATCGTTGATAAGATAATTTAGCTCATCGTTCCACAGTTGTATTTTTTTTCGCAAAGATTAAGATTGATTAATTGTTAATACGACGATAATAATCGAAGCATGTAATATATTTTCTGTTTTCTTCATCTTAATTATGTAGAATTATGTGATCTATTTATTTTAACTCTAATTACTTTAATTATTTCCTCCCAACTATAATATATCTATTTTAACAAGTTCTCAAAGACTTCGTTTCTCTCTCGCTGCTCTCTCAAGAGTGTCGTTTATCTCTTAAGAGAAACGGCATTCACGCACTTCAATATTTTTTGCTGAAGAGCAAATTCGTTGACATAAACGAAAGCGAGAAGAGCGAATTAGTCGGATTGTCGCAAGTGACACGACAATTGACCGCTCCACACAGAGTGCGTGTACTACTCTTGAACCTGTCAATTTGTCGTCATCAACCTTGAAGCGGCCCGCAACCCTTTTGCCCGATTAAGCCGACGATTCCGGTCGACAATCCCGGTCTCCTCGTCCCGATTAGACCTGAACTAAAGCAAGGGTGGTCCTTTTAAAATGTCGCAACCTTCGGTCGCTCCGCGTGATGTACAATCGGGTTCTCAGCTTTTACCTGACCCGCTTCAGTCCAGGTACAAATGTCTACAGGTCTATCGGAGAGACCAAACTTTTATAAAAAAGGGGATTTTGTTTTGTATAAAGGAACTTTTGTTGATATTGCAGTACCCTGATTGTGAAACTTTGAAGCATGTGAATATTCAGTTATTTATGTACGTTGCATGATTTTTATTTCTTATAAAATCATTTTTTTTTTTTTTTTTTAGAGATGTTATTTAAGAAATTATATAATTTATCTTTTTGATGTTACTTTTTTATAACTTTGTTATATAGTATATACAATTATATANNTATATTTTATTTTATATAAAATAATATTATCGATAAGAAAAGATCTGTAGTATTTTCTACACAAGATTTATCGTACCACCCACGCTTAGAACCTCTAAAGCTGACTCACGTCGACTTGAAAAAGAACATTTTGGTCGTCGATCTCCGGCTTACCTGGAATCCTTCCTGACGATGTGTATGCGTATGTGCGTGTGTGCGTGCTTGCGTGTGTCTGTGTGTGTGCGTGTATGTCTGCACACATCATGGTCTAAATATTCAATTTAAAATTATCGCACGATAAACGACTCACACGAAATATGTTCCTCACAATTATCATGTGTTCTTGCTATCTTATCATATAATTTTTCTACCAATTTTGGAGCAACAATTACGTAGCTAAATAAATATTTCCAATCTACAATAATCGAATAATAACTATTTAATAAATTTTCCAAAAAAATGAAACTACTTCGCGTAAAAATAAACAATGTGTAATTAATATGCAAGAATTGCATGCATAAATTATTTATAATTAGCAAGATTAATGCATTAGATTATACAAATATATATTTTTAGATGATTGAAATATTTGTTTTCCTAAATAAAAAGATTATTTTTATGATATAATTATTATTTCTTTTTATTTTAAATAAATAGAATATTTGAGTTTGTCATTTGTATATTAAAAATGCATTCCGCTTAGAATTTATAAAATTGTAATGTAATATTATTTCTTTTATATATATTTATCTTTTGCAAACATCAGGAGGAAATATTCTCTTTCATAAAAAGATGTTGCAAAATTTGTCGAGGAATTTACCAATTAAAAACACATGTTTTTATCAAGAAATAAACACATCTGCAAAAATGAAAGACTTTATCTGAAACATAACGAAACATTCGTCTCTGTCGCGTTACCTTATATGGAAATAATAATATGGTCATATAGTCATAAGTTCAAAAACTCTTCTTCTTTGAGTTTTAAATACTTTTTATCTACGATAAGGTTTTACAAGAGAATAGAAAAGAACCTTGTTATTTTCAACAACTCTAATCGTATCCCATTTTGTTTAGATGTTTTTATAACATTTATAACGCTTGATTGATGTGTTAATATTTGCTGAACAATTTGTAATAAAATTATTAAACATAAAGTGAGCAATAATAATCGAGAAACGTCGAATCACATAATTTGCTCTTTAAAAATTTGAAAAAAAAACGATTAATAAAAACTATTCTATAAGTCTTCTAAGATCTCATGAATCAAGTTCTTCAAGACAAGATAAATCGGGATTATCTTCGATAACAAAATTGGATGATCAAGTAATGTGGTTCGAGCTATTCGATTATCATGTCATCATATTATAACATTGTCTTAATTACTCAAATAGATGGATTCACCGGATCGCGAGATATACCGCGATCCCGATGTCGTCAGGGCCGACGATAGGGTGGACGAGGTGGTCCACACTGACACGGCGAGAAAGATGCTGTCTATCTTCCGGCAGATGGAGGAAAACGCGTGCAAGGAGGAACTGCCGGAGGGTCCAAAACCCTTGAAGCGCTTCACACCGCCCCCCGAGGACAAATTTGCAAAGGCGACAGCCTCGGACTCGGAGGAGGACGAGGATGAAGAAAACGAGGAGTCCGATGGTGACGAGAGCAACGAGGAGAAAGATCCCAACTACGTCCGTGCTTCTGACAAAGTATGCGTGTAATATATGTATTGGATTTTACATGGAGTTTGTTTAATCAAGGCAAATGAAAGACAGAGAGAATAATATAAACGTAGAATTTCTAATAATATCGGATTAATATAATAATTCTACAAGAAGGGAGAACCTTTTTCTTTTTTCTGGTTCTGTAGCTATTATTTTGTAATTATTAAGACATTTCATATTAGAATGAATATATAACATATAAAGTTATTTATTTAAATTATAGAATTTTATTAGTTTTTTTTTATTGCTATGTTCTAAAAATTTTCTAAAAATCTCAAATTCTTTGTACATTACATACTTTTGGATATTTTAATTTTACTATAAATAAATTAAGATTTGCTTCTGAAAGTGGAAAGAGTTGGAATGTCTCATCCAGTTTTAAAAAACTGACGCGAATTTTCGGAGCAATTCTATATTTTAGGTTTAATCGTTTCGGGAAAACTATCTTTTACTCATGATTGGGTATTACCCTATAATCTACAAAATTCTCTCGCCTGTTATTCTCGTCTAGGTGGAGGATGAATTCTTGAAACAAGCGCAGAACGCGGCGCGCGCCAAGACCCTTCGTGCTAAGTTCGAGCACTGGGAGGAGACCGACGGCAAGGTCAACAGTCACCATATCGCCGAAATCGAAATGGCCCAGGGCACGGGTGACCAGTCCAGCATAGAGTCTGCGAGCAGTCTGAGGGCTCGTTTCGAGTCCCTCGGCTCACAGAACAACGAATCTCCGCGCGCATCGAAGGTCAAAGTTAATCGATTTGTGGTAAGTACTTGTGGAAGCACTTCGTCGAATATATAATCGCACACGTTTCATCCTTTTTCCCTTCGACAAATATCATACCCAATACGATATTCGCGATCCGTCGTTCATACTCATCGCCATCTGTTCTGCATCCATCACTTTACGTCCATCCACCGTCATTTGTGTCTTGATTTTCCACTACTATTGATTAAACTTGGAAAGCATAATTTTTTTTAGCCTTTCTTTTTTTTTTGAACGTAACAAGATATTTCTCTGACTGACTTATATGCATCTAATTGTGTGTGTGTGTTAGTCAGATACTTGAAAGACCAAATTTCTCTCCCAGTGAAAATTCCTCTTTTGTTTTTGAACAAAACTCGGCATCATGAAGTATGAGCATGGTGTGTTTTTGAATTGTCGTTATTTTGCCTGCTTTGTCAATTTATGTTGGAATTATAAATGTATTTTTAAATTTGCATTGTGAGCAGTGTTTATATTGCGTTAAAATTTCAGAATAAATAAAGATACATAATATTTTTTATACGCGTTTTTAGTAAGCGCATTTTATTTGAACTAACAAATCTCTCACAATGTTTCGAACGCGATAAAAACACTGCTTGAAAGCACGACTGATTTATATTTTATTTTATTTTATATGTCTCGTTTATATATACAACAAGCGTTTATTTTTGCACTCTTTATTTTGGCGACGTATATGTATATTTTACGATAAAGATTAATTGTTGCTTATGATAATTTAATCCGCTACTTATTCGTTTCGTACAATCAATGGATTCTACGAATGTAAATACGTCCGTTCGCTCTTGCTATTATCAGAACTTTTTACAAAAAAGGTGTATCTTTTCATCGCATGGAAAATCAATTTTTTTATTTTTCTATAATATAATATTGCAATTATATAAAATTAAGGTATATTATATAAATTGTAATATTGGCGAATATTTTACATTTTAATATTAGCCAAATACCTTCAAGCTATTTATTTGCTTATAATTTCAAATATTTGTAACAATAACAGATTAAACAGAAAACTATAAATAGTTTTTCTTAATAGAAAAAAAAACTATAAAAATATGTATTATATTTTGGAATAATAACAGCACTTTAATTGACGATAAATTTTAAAATATATTGTTTTAGCGACGAATATATATGTTATCCGAGCGCTTACGTTTTTAAAATTTAAAACCATCTGTTTTTTATCAGAATATATTTATATACAGATGAAGTATCGATGTACCGTGGCGAGTAAATTCTGCATTCAACTCGTATCACTCGTCGATATAATGTAAAATTATTATTCGCCTGAAGTAAATGCAAATGACGGTAGAATTGCAATTCCGCGGTTATAAAAGACGAAAAATAGCTAGATCAATAAAAAATATGAAGTTAAATACGAAATATAAATATGAAGTTTGAGCGAAATTTTGTACACGTGTTTTAAAATTCCAAGCGCAAGCACATCGATAGTTCAACTACCTTTACTCCTTTGCTGAGATTATTATCGAGCATGATCGGTGTGATTATTTTTTGATTTGTCGTTATCGTTCTTACATTCTTTTTTTTTTTTTTTTAACCTGCCTATGCGATATTTTGGCCGAAATTCTTTGCCCGCTTGTGTCGTATGTGATATCGTAGAGAGAAAATAATTGCAAACAATATCAAGTGATCTTCTTTTTGTGACGCGGAGCAGTAAAAGGGAGAAAGAGAAACGGAGGAAAAATACGCCTGGATTAAATCGAATGCGAAGAAGGATAGAGAGAAGGAGGAGAAGAATCGATGAAGGAAGGAGAGTGCGTCGTTGGGACAACCGCGATGGAAAAGCAGTTTTTTCTTTAATCTCGCGCAACGGCAATAATGTTCGGTTTTCGTCGATTACTACTGTAACGATCTTTTCGTTTTCTTAGGAATGGTTTTAACACACACACACACTGAGCGTTACGTTCGTATAGTAAATCTCTCTAGCCCGTAGACTGTACCATATGTTGCGTGTTAATATATATATATATATATTATTGTAGTATGAAAGTCTGCACGACTGTTGGATCTGTCGAGTATTTCGTCCAATCAGAAATAGAAAATTATGCCAACAGAGAGAAAAAAACTAGCAGATGGCTGTAAAGCATTCGGGACGGTAATGTGCTGAGTCACATAAGAAATATAAAGACCATGTGAGAAATTTAATAAATATTGATTTGTACACAAATTATAGAGTTCCACAAAACATCTCGTTAATTGATATAATGATCATCATCATAGTTTTTTTTTTTTTTATGTAAAGGCAATTCATCAAGGAACAGAGGAAATTTGACACTTAAAATTAAATCATATAAATTTTATAATATTTTATTTTATCACAAAGAGCGAATATTCCTTACGCAGAAATGCTCGACTTATCCTGATATATATATAACAGAAAAAGAGAAAGAAAATCTTATTGTCTACTAATTCGTTCTTACATTCTTTTTTTTTTTTTTTTAACCTGCCTATGCGATATTTTGGCCGAAATTCTTTGCCCGCTTGTGTCGTATGTGATATCGTAGAGAGAAAATAATTGCAAACAATATCAAGTGATCTTCTTTTTGTGACGCGGAGCAGTAAAAGGGAGAAAGAGAAACGGAGGAAAAATACGCCTGGATTAAATCGAATGCGAAGAAGGATAGAGAGAAGGAGGAGAAGAATCGATGAAGGAAGGAGAATGCGTCGTTGGGACAACCGCTATGGAAAAACAGTTTTTTCTTTAATCTCGCGCAACGGCAATAATGTTCGGTTTTCGTCGATTACTACTGTAACGATCTTTTCGTTTTCTTAGGAATGGTTTTAACACACACACACACTGAGCGTTACGTTCGTATAGTAAATCTCTCTAGCCCGTAGACTGTACCATATGTTGCGTGTTAATATATATATATATATATTATTGTAGTATGAAAGTCTGCACGACTGTTGGATCTGTCGAGTATTTCGTCCAATCAGAAATAGAAAATTATGCCAACAGAGAGAAAAAAACTAGCAGATGGCTGTAAAGCATTCGGGACGGTAATGTGCTGAGTCACATAAGAAATATAAAGACCATGTGAGAAATTTAATAAATATTGATTTGTACACAAATTATAGAGTTCCACAAAACATCTCGTTAATTGATATAATGATCATCATCATAGTTTTTTTTTTTTTTATGTAAAGGCAATTCATCAAGGAACAGAGGAAATTTGACACTTAAAATTAAATCATATAAATTTTATAATATTTTATTTTATCACAAAGAGCGAATATTCCTTACGCAGAAATGCTCGACTTATCCTGATATATATATAACAGAAAAAGAGAAAGAAAATCTTATTGTCTACTAATTTACATCATATATAAAAGATAGGCGAGAGAGAGAGAGAGAGAAAGCGACCATCTGTGTCACATTTAGCAACGCGACTTTTATCGTTTTTGCAAAGATTCTTTCTTTAAGGTGCCTACATACGTGCGACGATGCCAAGATTTCTGTAAAATGCATGATGGATTTGCTCCTCAATAGTGAAATTCGTAACGATGCGCATTTAATTTTCTGTAACTTGTATGATATTACTCCCTTAAAACACAAATGATCGAATATAATTAAGCATATGTGATTAATAATTTTTATATTACAATTCTTGATTAGGACAGAGGTCATTATGAACGATTTTAATGACTTTATAGAGTGCCAAATTTTATCAAATATACTTGAGCGATTTTGCAAGCCACAATAATTTTTATTAGAATAATTTTTTTGGGATCTTCATGACTTATATGATTATTATGTACAACGTATCTTTAATTTTTATATAAATAATTCAATTTTCAGAGCAGTAAATGAATCGATTAATCAAAATAGCTCGCTGATTATAAAATGTATACTGTGGGTGTAGATAAAAATAGTAGAAAATTAATGAAACTTGCATAGTCCGCATTTCTTTTTTTATCTCACATTGACAATTATTATAAATGTTTATACGCGGATAATTTAGCAGATTTAGAACTTTCTTCTCGCATCGTTACGGTCTTCACACAACTATCGCTTTAGATTTCTGATTTTCATAAGTGCCAAGTTATTCATCGACAAATGAACGAGAAGAGAAACGAATTAGCGAGAATAAAAAAGCGCGCAAGAGAAAGAAAGTGCGTGAGACTGACGAACGAAAAGAGTGAGAGGTGATGGCTTTTCCAAATTGCGAGATGAGGGCCTGAACGAGGAATTATCATTTACATACAGAGGAAGTATATATATATTCGAGGCGATATTTAGGTGCTCCAGGAACTGGATTAGCTGATTAGAGAAACGTAGCTATTTCGAGATCGCTTTTACAAATTTCTAATCTTTTTACAGCTTAGCGCGGTAGTAAGTAGATTTTTATACCCGTCTATCCGTCAACGATCTCTCTTCGGGGACTGACAAACGGAAACGAAAATATCTTTCTCGCGTTTGATCTGAACGATTGGAATGTTCGCGAAACACGTTGCGCATTTGCATCTTACACTTGTGCAATATAAGAAATTGTGATTACGTATTTATTGTCTTACAAAACGCGAATCTTTTTCTTTTAGTTGTATTATATCTAGATACATTGTATTATATATATTTTTCAAGAGTGAGATGCATTTTTATCGATGGGATTTTATCACTTTTGTTTTCTATCGTGTGTATCTGTCACGTTATTCTCTTCTGTAATGTTGCTTTTAATACTACCGTAATATCGTGCAAAAAAGCAGTAAGTTCGCTGTAAATTCGACATATTTTTCGCGCTAATTTAGGTACGAATACGTCGTCGATATGTAGAGACATGATATATATCTGTGTATCAATACACTTTATATTTACGGAAAAGAGAAACACGATCGACTTCAATCATAAAATATCAGGGTACAACGCAATCGTTCTTCGAGAATTCGAGTCGAGTACGAAAAGAATTCTTTTTGGAAGCACTGTACGAGTTTTTCTAGACATGTAATCTAAGTATTGTAGAAAGAGGAGAGAAAATTTGAAGATGTATATTCTCGACAGCGTACATTTCCCGTCTTCCTTTTTTCGTTTGTGCAATAATAAGTTTCGAGATATGCGAGCCACGAATGCGGTGGATAAGCGATTCAAGGAGATTTGTATCGGGATGCGCTAAGCTGGGTTTTAATTTGCGAAAGATTCGCTTCATTAATCGAGCTATCAATAGAGACAATCTCGCGTGACGATTCTAGCAAGTTAATTCTCGTTAACGGCCTTTTAATTTGTAGCATAGTTAGCGATAATATTAAGTTAATACGATTTTATTGCGTCTGTTAACGTATCATTTCTATCGATGTATAACGATCCTTGTTCTGTTCACGTGTAACATTTATTACGATAATACATATAAGTGGTAAATAAAGAAGATGCTAAATCTCTTTCGTAGGAGTGAGAGGAGGAGAAAAGGAGCAGGGAGAGATCTCTCGATTCGAGAAGCAACGCGGCTTTTTCTCTTCTTCTTCTTCTTCTTTTTCACGTAGCGTCCACATATCCTTCTTAAAACACCTCTTCACACATTTCATCATGCATTCGACAAATACGTTTCCCGTTATCCGACTGTCACGGAGTATTCATAGGGATAAGTTTAATTATACCGTCCACTTTTGACGTGACAATCGTGTAGGAGATCCAGACGAGCTGCACGGACGTGTGTGAAAGCTGCCAGAAGAAGGTCTACCCCTTGGAGAAGGTCGAGACAAATAACAAAATCTTCCATAAGCAATGTTTCCGGTGTCTCCAGTGCAATTGCATTTTAAGGTAACACAAAAAAAAATACTAAACTCTTGTATTATATTTATTAACCACACAGGAATATCCTATACTCAGATGCATCGCTTATGAAGGTTCATTAGTGTCATTAATACACAGAGAAATATTGGCAATTAATTTTAAATAATTTCTTTTTGTAAAATAATATTTACTAAAATTTTGTATAATAACGTAAAGATGTTTAATATATTAAATAGTGTAATTGTTTTTATTACTTTTCGCATATAATTTTTAAATTCTCTCGTTAAACTCACGAAAATGTTGAATATGTGAAATTATCGTTATACGAAATCATCGTCACGGCGTGATGTGTTCGAAACAGGATGGACTCCTTCACGCTGAACAACGGCAAGCTGTACTGCATCCCGCACTTCAAGCAACTCTTCATCACACGGGGAAACTATGATGAGGGCTTCGGCGTCGATCCACACAAGAACAAATGGGCGACGACGAATTCCAACAGTTCCACGAGCCCATCGCCGATCGCGGTCTCAAACGGCGATCTCTGATTTTCCAAGTCTCCCGTTTTACTCTTCCCCCCTTTCTCTTGTACATCGCTATTGAATTTTAGTCGGATTCGCAAGTGGATCTAGGCGATCTAGGAGATTTAAGAAGAATTACCCCCTCTATCTCTTCTTCTCTCTCGGAAATACGCAGGATAATTAATCGAATAGAGAAAAAATTTTTGTATTTTTATCACTTTGACATTTTTTTTTTTTGGAAATGATAAGCTAGATCCGCTTGTGGTCGGAAAATAATGCGATGATAATTATAATAAATTGTACATTTTTTGTATTACGTTAGGCCCGTGTGCGAATACGCGTTATTTGTATATTTAACAGTAATCGGAATCAAATGGAATAATGTAAGAGAGACGACTCCGTGTGCGAATCCTCATCTTCGAGGATCGTAATCTTGCCGGAAAGCGCTAAATAAATGAATTGAGAACATGTAAACGATTGCGACTTGGTCGCAATGTCCGTCTACTCGTAAATTGAGAACGCGAATTTACGATTTAAATTATAAAAATCAACGAAAATACGCGCTTCGTGTTTCATCAACTTAATTACGTGCGTAATCTCCGAAGTCTATTTTAGAATACATCGAACGCGTGCTGTACGTATGTTTGTCAGTTGCCAATGGAAAAGCGATCCTAGATCGAAATGATTCCTTGGTATAAAATTGTAATGCGCTAATAAAAGTGTCTTATCCCCTCAATTCTAAAAATTTTATTGTCATCGCTCATAAAGTTTGCTTGATATATTTGTTACTATTATTATTTTATTGATTTTATTATTATTATTATTATTATTATATTATTATTATTATTTACATATGCGCCGTACTTGGTATTATTTTATTATATATATGTTGTGTGTATAATACAATATTACATTACGCTTCATAGACCATGTATCCAAAAACCTGCCCCTTAATAAATAAGAATTTTATATATTTCTCTGTGAATTTATAGGTACGCTAGATGCTCTTAAAAATGTAAATGTGCGTTAATTAGCGATAATTAAAGAACAGTATTTTTTTATCTATGATGTCAAATTAAATATGCATATATAATACATAGCGACAATAATGACACATATTAACATATAATATATAACAACAAAGAAATTTTTATTAGCTCATTTGATTGCCAAATGGAATAATTGCAGACAAAATTGAAAGAGAAGAAGTTTATTAAGTCTAGATTTTTTAGTAAAATTTTAGATATTACTACAGTGAATATTGGAAATCATCTTTGTATTCTATTATTATCATATGTTTTATTGAATTGCCAAGTAAGTTGATGCCGTTATCAGACAGTTCGACGAACAGGCATTCGTCAACGAACGATAGTGTTATCATTACACAATATACACGACATTCCTCTCGGTAAAATACAGATGGCGAGACACGCGTACATAGCTTGGATTTACAGAGAATATCGACAGCATTCTGACAACCATATTTATAAGCATCGTAGCCACGCGTTGAGATACAGTGAACTTGATATGAGCCGGGAAAAAAATTTTGTTTTCGCGGCACGTTTCGAGATATTTGATACAAAAACATACAATTCTGTTATCAGTAACGTGCAAGCAAATTTACGTAACAGAACAAGAGATAACCAATCTCGAATAAAAATAGTTTAATATTCCAAATATAACGACACACAGTACATTGTTATCAACCATATTACAGCAGCTGATCAACCGAGGTAAGTCATTAACAATTCAATTCAATTCAATCAAATATTCGCATCGATAAATTTTTTTCCAGTATAAGAGACAAAAGTATTACTGTTCGAAAGATGGTTCTTGTTTCCTTCAATCGATAATTTCATCGTGTATCGGTCTGTCAGCATACGATGCCCATTTTTTACCGTGTAAACCATAGACATGAAAATTTCTATAGAATTTTCTATGTCTAAGGTGTAAACTAACTCATATATCGAAGAGAATATACGATATAATATTACGTGATAAAATATGAAATACATATCTCGTAAAGTATAAACTTTTCTTTGATAATCTTACTTTGAGACTTTTATACCAAAAAATAACGGGATGTAAGAAAACACATAATTGTATTTAAAAAAAAATTAATTAATCAGTGTATATGTACCTGTAAAAAAATTATTTTTCTATTTCTTATTAATTAATTATTCTTATCATTAATTAGCCATATTACTTTGTAGATGGAGATCTGCGTCGATTCCTTAGAATCTGCAAGAAACGCGGTCAAGGGTGGTGCCAGCAGACTGGAAATTTGCTCGGCTCTCTCGGAAGGTGGTCTAACACCGAGCCCGGGTCTACTTAAGCAAATAAGAAGTTTCGCGACGATTCCGCTCTACGTCATGATCCGTATTCGCGGTGGCGATTTCGTCTACACCACCGAAGAAATCGACGCTATGCTTCACGATCTGATGATCCTTAAGGATCATCACGCGGACGGATTCGTCTTTGGCGCGTTGACCTCCGATTGCGAGATCGACACTGTCGCGTGCGAGAAAATCATTTCCGCCGCTCGTCCTTTGCCGGTGACGTTTAGTCGCGCCTTCGATCTCACTATCGATCCTTTCAAATCTTTGCAAGTTCTCGCTGATCTCGGTTTCCAGAGAATTCTGACATCTGGACAGAAGAATAGCGCTCTGGAAGGATTAGAACTGATAAAAACGTTAGTACAAAAGACGCAGGAATTATTAATTATGCCTGGAGCTGGTATCACGAAGGATAACATTCGCAAAATCATGGAGTCTGGTGCCAAAGAGTTTCACGCGTCGGCTAAAAGACGGAAAATGGTGATTTATTGTGGGAATAGAGTGAGATTGGGTCCTAATGAGAATGATTTTATTAATGTGACCGACAAGGAGCTGGTGAAGGAATTGGTCGATATAGTCAGGAACATCAGAATGAATGAAACGTCTTGTGAAAAATAACTTTAGGAAAAATAATCTAATACCAATTATATATTTTTATATAATTACACTACGTCTAAATAACACAACGCCTTAAAAGTAATCTATTTGTTTTAAAACGAATAACGTTGCACTCTTGTATTTTTGATTATAATTTTACATTGTATTATATTTCTCTGCTAATAAATTGCTCTTTATTACACTCATTAATTCGAAAACGGCACGTTATACATCTAAGCTTTATATAGATTACAATTTTAATGGTGAATAAATACTAATTTTTATAACATAAATAATATAAATTAATATAAATAATAAATCTTTGTTTAATCTTTTTTTTTATGAAAACTGACCACGAGAATTACCACATTAAATTGTAATATGTTATTAATTTCTCAATTTTTTAATAGTTAATTTTCTCGAAAACAAAGACTCCTGCGATAAAATTTAATTTTATTCTTTCAACTTATTTTTTCATATAGAATCATTATTTTTCTGATTGTACCATCAGATAATAGGACATCTTATATGTAAGGCCTTCTTGCACTTTCTATTTAAACGTGCCTGAATATTGTACAATTATATAAACGATAGCGATTATATCACATCTAATCCAAGTGATTTTATAATCATTTAAATTTTACAATTTTAAATCAACTTTTTATAAACGATATTTTATTATACATATTATTTTGTTACTTTTTAGATATAAATTTATCATACCATTTATGTAAATTGCATTCTAGTTAATCGAGTATTTATATGAAAAATAGATTCCATGATATTTGAAAATAAAATTTTATAAATGTAACTTTATTATGACTGCAATTGCTCTATATGTAATACACAACTCATTTTATATAATAAATCTGCAAGATGCATATTTATTGTGACCAATGCAATTTCTTGAAATTAAGTATACACTTGGCAAGAGAAGTAATAAATATAGTATTGATAAAATATATTAAAAGCGCACGACATATTCTCGCCATTCTCCCTCTAAATAAATTTAGCTACGTGCGAAAAATTAATTGTACAGTTGTAAATTAGTAACTCTTTTTCAAATATGCGACAATTTATTGCGCCTTTAGCAAAATAAAATTCTTATTTAAATAAATTCTTCTCATGCAAATTCTTGTTTTTGTGTTCAGAACCATGTTCAACATGATTTTAAAACATCTAAATGATTTCAATATGAAATAATAATGAAGTTAACGTGTCAAAAATCAGTTTATTGAATAATGAGAAATGAGAAAATTAGTTATGAGCATCCGCAGCTTGAAATAAATTTTCCACGATTTTTTATTTAAAAAAAAGAAGCATATTATTTTTTTTTTCTTTCTTTTAGATGCGGAGGATAAATAGAAGATTGGTCACAGGTAATAAATAGCAAAAAGGTATATTGATTTGACGTAGCTTGCTTAACTACACGGAGAAAATTTTATATTAAATATTACTATAATGTCGTAGTAGCTGCGGACCATCAAGGAATTATAAGTTTAAATGTTATGGTCATTATTTTAAAAACAATAAAGCAACGCAATTTTTACACTGTCTCATAGTAAAAAGATTTATGTTACAAAACAAAAACTTGCTGGATAAAAATTAGTATTGCGAGAAAAGTAAAAAATATATATCGAATGAATTTTTACTGCACACCATAGTAAAAATAAACTATTCCCACTTTAGAATATGTCTTGAGCGCCGGTTTCACAAAAATTATTTTATCTATATGACAAAAAGCAGTGTTGCCATAGTAAAAGTTACGTCGAAATCATGTAAACGTTTCAAATTCGGTAACTCGTTATTAAGGACTCGAAAAGAAAGGGAAAACGATAAGCATTGCTTGCAAGATCTTGTCGAGCGCACGAATTTTTGAACAGTTACGCAGTAACAGAAGCCAGAAGCGTATACGCAGTAGGCTCATTGTCAGTCATAAACGCCGCAGGCTCAGTCATAAACGCAAAACGATTTGCGCATTTCGGTAACTTTTCGGTCCAAAGCTTTCTTAATCGTTACGCTATAAGTAGTGTCGTTATAAAAGTACTTTGAATAAAAAAAAGTGCTGTGAAGAAAGTGAAAAAAAAAAAACCGTAAATATTCGATTTACAATCATTATCATTATATTATTTATTTGCACTTTTCTATCTAACCTATTATTTATTATATTATTGTCTCATTATTCTGTACATAAAAGTATTACGGTAAGATTATCGAAAACTAAATATTTTACGAGATATTTTATTTTTTATATCAAAATATGTCAGAATAAAATATAAAATAACTCAAAAAGTACTTAATAAAAAAATACTTTATTATAGTGTTTTGAAAAGCTTTCGAGATAAGCTACAAGAATATGCAATAAAAAATGGGGGGTTCCATTTAAGAAAATATCGATCACATTGACTTGGCCTTGAAAAGGTCACTCAAGGTAAAAATGCAATGTTTACGAGATATTTGAGTGTATCCAGACTTTCGACACACCCTGTATATATATATATATATATTGGCAGGTACTCATAATTACCTCTTATATTAATATCATCTTAAAACTTCAACATGTTAATGTACTTTTTTTTCATTTGCTAATGATGTCTTAAGATTATATTTAAGAGATCTTAGATATAAGATCGTTGCCAGTCGTTGCTTTTTATTTAAATTATGTCGCGTTTCTATTATAATATAGGTATGTTAAACGAATAAATATGTCGACTTCTGAATGTGGAAATGAGAATAATAAGAAAAAGATATCCGAATTTATTATTGTTCAAATTGTAAAAGTTGAGGTTTAGCATTATAACGTTTTACAATGATACACAGATAAAGATTATAACTTTGCACTTATGAATTTTTACTATGGCAAATGATAAAACATGTTAGGTAAGTGTTAGTTTTAAATTTTACTATGTTGTATTATAATTTATTCTATAATGTCATGATGGTCCACCGATAATACAATAAATAGTAAAATGTAATTTAAAATTGTATCATGAATTAATATAAAATTTTCTCCGTGTAGGTACTAGATGGTAATAAAGCAATATACACTTAGGTATGCGCAGATCTATCTCAGCGTCATCGCACACATGTGTCGTGTGTGTATGTGTATTATTATCTATAGGTATTGCTTAATAAATGCGCAACAAATGAATGCAACATTCATGCATCTTTTGTCTCTCGTGTATCCGGCCTAAAGTGTAAAACGGCCGTACATATGTATACGCGGAAGATCACGGGGCCATAGACGGTATACTTTCGTTTTTGTGGCACACATGCTCGGAATTAAACATGTGTACGTGCACGTACGTATGTGTGCGTGCACGCACGCGTATCTATATAGATAATGTTGATTCGAAACGAAAGCGGCTAATGTGACACAGTGCGCATTCATGTGTACCTGTACCTGCATACGATCGAGAAGCAGGTTTCACACACGCTCGCGCGTATATACAAAACTTTAGCTAGTGCATACATATAAAAAACTGGTTATTCATATGTATGCGCTTATGTCGCCTTGAACGGCGAGTTTTTGTACGATTCGACCGGATTACTTAGATCAAAACATACAATTCTACGTATAAGCATATATGAAATTTTATTCTATGTTTTTCTTTCAATTTTATCCTTTTCCTATCGCGTTAATGTCACGTTAACTTTCTCACATCGCGTTATTATATTTGACTTGCATTTTCTAACAGATCTCATGCTCTAGAATCGTGAATCTTGACACATTCTACGGTGATCTAGAAATAATTTCTAAATCTTTCGTCCGAGTAAAAATTCTTGTGATTTTAAATATACAGAACTTAGATCTATTTTAATTTATAGTAATCAATAAAAAATTTATTAAATTTACAAAAAAAAAAAAAAACGTGGTGCCTCCTTCTCTTGTACTTGATCAAGATACGCAAAAGAGTAAATTTAACAATTTTTATATTAAATAACTATGTAGACAAAAAACAAGCTGTCTTTTTTTTATATAACTTATAAAACGTACATTGTACGTACGTATAAAAGTACATCATTCTGCGACGAATAGAAAACATGCGACCCTATTAAATCTATTTTAATTTATAGTAATAAAAAAAAAATTTATTAAATTTAAAAAAAAAAAAAAAACGTGGTGCCTCCTTCTCTTGTACTTGATCAAGATACGCAAAAGAGTAAATTTAACAATTTTTATATTAAATAACTATGTAGACAAAAAACAAGCTGTCTTTTTTTTATATAACTTATAAAACGTACATTGTACGTACGTATAAAAGTACATCATTCTGCGACGAATAGAAAACATGCGACCCTAACAGATTGACGTGATCAAAGATCGTCACCTACAGCTATTGCGCGTATCATATTAGCAGAATATAAATACGTATAGATATACGTAGAAGTTTAATTTACCTAGAAATCATGAATAAGTCATAAATAAATGAAATGCATGCAACGCATAAAGAGTAATTGTAGTAATGGTCGAGAGGTGAACAAGAAAATACTTATACAAATCATTTACATGCAGATCAAAATGCACTTATCTGGGTCATCAAGCATCCTTGACGACGTTTAACGTAAACGATGTATAATAAAACCGTAGTAGTTTTGACTAGACATTGTTTATACATTATAGACGAGAACAATACACAATGAATTCAATATATATATATAAATTAATTATAGACTCATAATTAATTAATATATATTAAATTCATTGTGTATTATTCTCGTCTATAATGGCACGTAAGTTTTTGCAACACTTAGCTGATGATTGTTAGCGAAATTGTTACAAACAACATTTATTTTTAAAAGGTTATATTAACTCAGCATAAAATTCCTCTACTGATTTAAAATTCTACAATCGGCAGAGGATCTCCTTCCATCTAACACGAAAGAGAAAGTACATGCGTGAGGTAAGATGAAAACTTGAAGAATTCGAATTCGAATCTTACGAACCTGTGTCCAGGATTGTATAATATAATCGTTTTCATCTTGTGTCGCAAAAGTATCATGAAATCGAAGTCGGACACCAAAATAGACGCTCAGGAATTTTCCTTATTCTCTCGATCTCTTGGTTCTTCGACAAGGCCATTTGTCCCTCGGTAATTTCCCTCAGTCATTGCCCTACAGAATCCGAACACACATTCCTATCCATAATCTTCTATGCATGTGTCTATGCATGTGTGTGTATGTATGTATGTATATATATATGTGTGTGTGTATGTGTGTGTATGTATGTATGTGTGTATATATGTGTATTTACATATGTGCGCGAAGTGGCCGAGAGCCGGCTCTGTTTATACTGCATCAGGTGAATGCAGCAGGAAAGACGATGTTGGACTGTTGGATACACCTTTCTCGAGTGCGTACACGCGTGTATGCGTGTCTCTTGAGTAGTATGGTATGGTATGGTATGGAGCGTGCGCCCGTGCATGTATGGCGCTCAACCGGACTTCATCCGCTCAGTGCGAGAAACACGTTCAGACGGATCGGACGGTGACGACGGTGTACGTGTATCCGTCGCGATCGCGCAGAGGCCCCGAATCGTTCCTCTCATATATTCATCGTGGTGCACGCCAAGGAGATCTCGCGCGCGAGCTGTCAGAACGAGAGGACTAAAGGAAGCACGGAACTCGCGGAGTAAACTCGACATTTCCTCCCGTGATACTCCGAGAAAAGGTGCGAATATATGAAAATAGTGATAAGAGAGGTCATGTGATAACATTTCTCGACGTGATAAAATCACTGTCAACCAATTTGACGTGCGATCTGATCGCGTTTGCCCGATGTGAGTAGACAGATTCATCGTCGCGTGAAAAATCGCGCTCCTTGACGTGAAAACCGGTCTCCGTTTTCTTAAGTTTAGCATGGGATTTAATTGCCGAGATATTTTATTTTCTTGATTAATATAAATGGTGAAGGTAATGAAATAATTAATAAAACGCATACGAGTAACCAAACTGGATGCAACTGGAGAATGCGGTCAAAGTGGGGTAAAATGTTTAACGTTGAAAACTGAGAGTTACGCGAGGAATGAGAATAAATGTGAAACGACGACAGTCGAGAGAAAGTATGTGATGATGTGTTTAACGCTCGTATACATATTCGATATTATAAATTCAATTCTGTTAATATTAATCGAGATCAGTTAAGAAATTTAAAGACGAAATCGCGCATATTACGGAGAGTACATTGTAAAGTAAAACACTAAAATGCAAATTTCTCGGACGCGATTTTTCTCTCAAACTCGAAATATAATATCCTTAAACCGAACCTTACTGGATACTGGGAAACCACGATCGTGTGGTACACGTATAAAATAAATATTTTCTCGCGTATCGTACATTCAAGACATTTTCTGAAGGAGAACATATGTTGGAAATTATTCTCTTGAAATCTCTATGAACGCTGTCTTCAGTAAGAGAGTTCTGATCTCAATTCGAATTCATTACACCGCACTTTCCTACTTTCATCGCTAACTGAAGATATTAATCGCGAGAAGATGTCTTGAAGAGAGTGAAAAGGATAACCTATATTCCTGAAAATAATTGTACGGATTTACGGGTTAAAAGATTTTAATTAGCACAAATAGATGAATATAGACGAATGACTTAATAATATACTTGATAAAAATGACAAACAAATTTCTTTAGATTATTAGAGAAATTAAATATCCTGACATGGATAGGCAACTTTCAAGATTATTTTCAGAATCCGCATATGAAAAAAAAAAAAATAAAAGAATTCGTTATCGTTAAAACTTGTTCAAAGTACGTGGGCAAATCAAATATAAACCGAACTTTTTCCAAAACATTTTATTCGATGGAAATATTTCCAACGCACACCCAAGTCATTTTTCTACATAGTTTCCACTAATATCTAAAGCACTTTTGCCACCGAATTGGCAGTTTTTTTATTCTCATCTCATAAAAACTAATGGGACGTATCTGAAGCTAATTGCACGGAAAAAATGTTGCTTTTGCACGATAATGCCAGGCCTCACACCGCCGCCATAACCCAAGAAATTGGCTCAACTGCACTGGACCACCGTTGAATATCCCCCTACAATCCCGATTTATCCCCGTATGATTCTCATTTGTTTGAACCACTAAAAGAGGCATTGGACAACGATTGATATGCGTTGGAAATATTTTCATCAAATAAACTGTTTTGGAAAAAGTTCGGTTTATATTTGATTTGCCTACGTATTAAGTTAGTTAATAGAATTAAACAAATTTAATTCATAATGATTAAATAATCTCTACATATTGCAACATCAAAGGGGTAACAGTATATATATACATATTAATTATTATGTCTAACTATTGAGTAACGCAACAAGAAACTTGAATATATCTTGCTAATGAGTGGGAGACGTACTCCATATGTCCGGTCATCTATGAATAATTAGGTTGCACTATCTAATGTACAGCGTTATGTAACGTTTAAAAATTATAAGTATAAAATTTTTACGGCTATTAAATATCAATATTTTTCAGATTATGCGGAGTTTGTTTTTTTTACATGTATATGTACACGTTAATTATCTAGCAATTCACAACAGATCTACTTTTATATGCCTACTGTTTTAGTGTCTCTTATTTAACATTATTATAATTAATATATGCGACTGTGTAAACATTAATGGATTTCATAACAAATTTCATAACAAATTGATTGCCACGAAGAACAGATCCTTTATATAATATTATATAATTGACACTAGAAAATAGATTTTATACATATAATAAGACACACGTGACAATTTTCTGTGATAATAATTTATTGGATCACATGATCAATTCTGTAATGAATCACTAAAGTATTGCGTTACGAATCATTTCCTTATGCCTATGTTATACGATGATTTTCACGTGATTTGTTTATTAATCGCGAGTTAACAGATTGTAGTCTAATTATTCACGACAACGCGTCGCACCGAGTCGCGTGACACGAATAATTCATTCATTCTAGCAGCACGTGCGATCATTCTTCTACGATTGCACTCGCTGCACTTCCCAGGCTTGCACAATGCGCGAAGCCGAGTGGCAGCTTGCGGTCCATCTCATACATATAAGTATCATCGTGTGCAATGAGAAAAAAGCCACATCTAAAAAATTAACATTTTTAAATTAAGCGTCTTAAAGAAGAACTTTAAGTTCAGTTTTCAGGGTAAAACATTGTCGTTCAGACGCGTCTAACGCCAAAATCATGAATTATTTATGCGACTTGAATAATGTATGTCATAGTAGCAAAGGGGTTCAAAGAAATTACAATTTATAGAAAAGCCTTTATTTTATTAAATTAAAAAAAAAAATATTATGCGAGCGAGCACGCGGATAGTGGTTGTCACATTTTCGTGCGATTCGAGCTTCTATTCGTTTAGAAATATCCATTGTGCCGTGCGGTTTTGCGGTAATGGGATTTCATTTTCCGAGATCGCGTTTCTTAACCACACGTAGATATTTAGCGCGTCTCCGAGCATTAATATATAGTATATTAATTACAATCACAGAGAGACGCGGGATATTTTCATATCAGAGGCGGTCGATCCTTCCAAAACATTTTATAGCAATTCGAAAAAATATAGTAGAAATTGACGAAGTATTCTCTATAATGTTTACAATATTTTGATATAAGGACGAAGAATAGATGAAGAAAGAGAGGAAAAAATATGTACATCTAATAGCTCAAATGAAATTATTGTTTTGCATAAAATTTGAGAGAGAGATGTGAGAGTGTTTTATTAAATAAGATCGTAGATCGCACAACGAAAACAGAGAAGTACACATATAATATAAAAGTACAAATCAAAAATCAAGACTATCTTCTTGACGGATATTCTCGGTAAGCGTATTTCGAGAAAGTCTCGAAGAAAGTCTTTGGATCAAGGTTCAGCTAAAGATGACAATCCTACTCCCATTGTTTGTTAATAATTCTAGCATTCTATAGTGGCGATTTAACGACTTGCGACTTCGCTTCTCGAAGGAAGATAGATCGAAATCACACGTCGTTCGCGCATTTGTAGACAAGAGCTCTTTATCTTCGCACACGACAGATCTTTCTTTCCGGCGCTTTCACAAAAAAACGTACGGGAAATTATTTTCAGGTAGAAGCAAGGCTTCGTTCGCAATATCTGTCGTCGCGAACGCGCGATTACGCTGCTTTTGAGAGAGAGAGAGAGAGAGAGAGAAAGACACCGGGGTTCGTCAAGGTAAACGGGGCGCAAAGTTCTACAAAAAGTTCTTACGACATTACAGATCCGGTCGTGCTGCGACGAAATATCAAGAATTTTTCTTCTTTTTTGCGATAGACAATCACGAAATACTCGATCATGGACCGACAAATATATATAGCCCCACTTTTTATATATCGGCAATCTCAAAACGTTCTCTCTACTTGGTAACGGTACGCTATTAAGTAACATCCATAAACGAACTGGAACACGCGTTCGCGATCTCTTACTTTCGATTGCCGAGCGCTCAATCGTATACTCTCGCTACTGCATCGTGTATTTGCTCCCACCATAACGGCCGAGATATATCTTAACGAGCCAAGTAAAATGATCGTTATTCCTAGTAAAATGGCACAGCCGCATTTTCTATTCCACTGGCCGACAGATTGTTATATACTACGCTTTCTTCCTAATGACCTCGAGCGTGCACAACTTTGCGCGATCGCGATGAAGTCGCGTTTAAAATTTCACTTTCCGCTATTGTTATGAATGAACGTGCACTCGTTAAAGAGTAATTTTGTGATATTTTCCCGCGACGGAGAAAAATCAACATTTTCACCGGAGTTTGTGACATGCATATCAGCAGCGATCATACACATTTATATGCAAAAATATTTAAAATCAAATGCTAAAAAAAAAAAAGTACCGTTTGCGCTGAAAATTTTCGCTGACGATAAGAAAGGATCCATTTCGATTACGGCCAGAAGAGGTATTATATTCCGAATGCGCGAGACGAAAGCAAAATTTCACTTGATTATTCAGTAGTATCGCGTTATCGCACTTACAATAGGAAGCCTCCAATAATCTGTTTAACTTTCAGCGCGTCGATCGTGCCGGGTGACGTGTTTTTAAGTGGAAACAAAAGATGCACCGTCGTTGTTGAATCAGCAATCGCACTCTTTCGCGCGTGAATACCCGCGAGAAATCTCAGGCCGCTTCAACGCCTCGCACGCGAAGTGAAGCACAGAAATTTGCACGAGATGGAATCGTTCGCGATGGACAACAAGGGATACCATGAAGAGGAGTGGGAGCGACGGGCGAAGATAAAGAGAATGTTCAGCTGGAGCGACGGACTTCCCGGGTGAGTCTCGATTATTCATATAATAATGGGATTCCGGAAGAAATCTCCCAGACATCTCTTATAAATCGCGATTATTTCACTTTTTAAACTAGAAAGTTTTAAGTAAATACATGTATATATGAAACTGTATGAAAATCAAAAATTCTCGGTATTTTTAGAAGCGAATTATCTCGCTGTCTCTGGCAGATTTCTTCTCACATACGTAGAGATTATATTCCTTACAAATTTACTTATACGCAACGTACACACACGTGAGTATCGGCATTTTCGTTTCTCGAGAGCGGCTAATTATACATCGAAATTTATGTATATCTACGCCGGGGTGCACACAGTATCTTATGGTCCAGTGGAACTTTCCTCGGCGGATTTCTACAAGAGCTCCTAGCGCCTGCTTACGCATACATAATCGTCAGGAATTTTCGATTGCGTGATATTTCGATGAATTATATGCGCATTTTACGAATGCACTCAGCATCGCGCAAGGTAAAGAGCAAAGTAAGCAGGAGCAAAGTCTGTTTCTCTCTAACGCACGGCGCATAAGGCTTTTGTAATACGTCGTGAGAATATTGGATTTGCGAAGAATTCACAAATTCTCCTTGACTACTGATGATTGTTTTATGATAAGTAGCTATAAAAGACAGACAAATTCATACACGAACATCGAGCTGTAGATATTTGTTGTCGCTGAATCTCCATACAATCGTCGCGCTTGCATCTTGTCTCGCGTATGATAAACGTAAATTTTAATTTCGTAATCATAATTTATAAGAAATCCCCAGCTTTCAATCTGTAATTTGTAATATTTTTATAATATTGTTTTTTAAGAGAAAAATACGATTTTATGATGGATTCCGTGAATTATTTTAAGACGCGAGTTTTAGGTCAATCCGCATAATAACGTGCGCATTATTTTTACGAACGCAATTTTCGTATAGAGAGGAAATTACGCACAGAACATTACTCGGCAACTTACTTCGCGACGGGGCCGAGTTAGCAATCGTGCGTGAAAGTGGCCGGCAATGGCCGGCAAGAGACCAGAGTACGCGCTTTGTCTGACTGCAACATTATACAGTGAAAGGACAAACGCAAGCAAATGCACGCACGATCGTACGTAACGCATTCTCGTTGTTAGAACGTTTTTGGGACATGATTTGGCGATAGCAATTTTTTTTCTTCTGAAAATGTATTTCTAAATAAAAACAAAAATATGAAAAAATACGATGTGAGATAAAATAATATAAATAAAATTACGAAAAAAGCTAAATTTTTAGAGAGAATACGCATAAATAAATCGATAGAATAAGAAATAAATATATACATATACATAAAAAGAAATATCAGGAGATAAATACGTAAATAAATTTTTAAGTACAACAGAAAAAGATATAAAGCGATTAATTTGAAGTTCCGACTACTTCTCAAAAATGAGACTCGAAATTACTTTATTAATTTACAATGGCCCGTTTCTCTTAAACTTGTAATATTACTAAAAATAAAAATTGTATATAATGTATAATAATTTATAAATGAAACCTCTACTCTTTTAATTACGAATAGTCGCATGAAAATCGGAAAGGATTTTTAAAGGCAACGCGTCTGGCAGATAATGTTTTATATGTTTCGTAACATGTTTTACATCATTCCATAATTTTACAATATATATCATCATGGGACTAAAAAGCACGACACTGAACTCGACATGCATGATTCAGGACCCGATGACTCGATACAAACAACAGGCTTTAAATGTCTAGCTATTTTAAATGTCATCAGGAGTACGATATCACAATAAACATTCGCTTGCATTGGAATTTTCAAATACCAGTTATTTTCGCCTGATAAAGATCTGGAATTATTTATTTTATACAAAAAACAGATTTAAAAAAATATTTTAAACTAAAGTTTCTATTTTTTAAGCCAAAGTCTTTTTTCAATGTTTTTCTAATTTTTGTTGAACTTCAGCTAAATTAATATAAACTTGTTTTTTTTTAGAAAACACAAATCTGTTTTAATCTCCGTAGTAAAAATAAGAAGTTTTACGAAAACGAAAGTATGTACGTTGCCGAGTTTGAAAGGCAAATGCTTTGCATACTAGAGTAACTAGCGCACGATAATCGTCCTCAGGGATCGATATAAAGATTGAGCGAATGCTTATCCGCACAGGTGTATCTTTCAAGTTAAGGTGTTTCTGTTAAGTATTTCTTCCAAGAGATGGCACTACAACTTCTTCTCCTCAACCACGAATACTTAGCATAAACATTTTTCTTTCGCAAATACCTCATGTTAAGAAACGATTAACTCATCGACCTATTTGTCGATGCTGCAAAAATGCAAGCGTCACATCGATAATACTATTTAACCGCAATTTTTTTCTTTCTATAATTTTATTAAAATTTTTAACGATTGTGCCAATATATATTTGTTGATTCTTGAATAAACTTACAAATTCTAAGAGAAAATATTGTGGAAATTAACGATACTGCAGCAAATTTCGAACAATATTTCCATAAATTAAAATCGATTTAAAATGATCAAATAAGAGTTTCGTTATCTCTTGTCATCTTGGAAATTAATTCGTAAAAGCCTTTTTCAAAAGATGATCTTTTTGAGAATATTCAGTAAAGAAAAGCTGCATTATAGATGTCAAAAAGAAACTGTTCTCAAAATGTTTCACAAATATATACATGGATATGTTTATTTATTATTTTTTCTGCTTTCTTAATCTTCATATGTCAAAGTAAGCATTTTAATCGCACAAACATGTTCTTATAAGCTTCCATCGACGATAAGGAAATTGATTATAATTATTGGGCGAAGGCCGCGATCTTTTCGTTTAATATTCATAAATGCTTCATTTTATTCAATAGAAAAAGTTGTTGCGCGGTCATTATTCAAGTGCAAAGAGTTCAAAATATGTCATCGAGGCATCTGTTCAACGTAATCGAGTGACGTTATTGCAGTCTATGATGATTTTAAACGTTTTTTTAATTGCGTCTGATGTCGATGAGAAGTCAAATATTTATAAAATATAGACAAAGCAACCAATTAATTATATGCGATCAGATCTGTACATGTGTTAATACATGTATGTACAAAAAATAGTATGCATATACAAATAAGTAAATCGAAGATTGATTTGATTGTAATGTGATCCTTCGTAATGTGTAGAGATACTCCTGAAATATTCCTGTAGAGATAATTAACAGATACTTCTCTTAGAGAGTTTATCGAAATTTTATCCAATAACAACTAGAACAACATTGAAAAACACACATGACCCTAAAATGTATTTTTCTCATAATTTAGGTAGGTAATTATTCTTTAAGTAAAACTTAATTAGAATTTAACAATGTGTGTTTTGAAATCTTTATTAATATTTGATGATAATTTTTTAATTCTATTTTTCCTTTTCGCTTATTTTCTTTCATTTTCGTATTGTTTATAAAATCGTATACTAAATTTTTTTAAATTAAATTTCTTTTTGTCTTTATAATTAATATTTATTGAAGAGGCAAAAAATATTTATATATATTATATTTTCCGTCGTATCTATGCAAATTTTATCAAATTAATTCCGAATTATACGAAAGAAACAAGACATCATCTGCGAAATCTAGTGAAAAAAAAATTGTATGCACTCGTCTTTCCGCATCTTTTTTATGCTGCTTGTATCTGATATTAAACATGACATCGTGTATCACAAATGAGCACGTGCACGTGTTAATGGCATTAAAGATCGTTAAAGGCATCCTCCGGATATCATACCGATGACTCTAATAATGGATATATCTCAATACTGATAAATAATTTCATTACGTATTATAAGGATAAACATGCAGAAAATTTTTTTTTAAAGTTTGTTGTAAAAATGTTGTGAATGTCTTAGAAAATGTGACGGATAACTTATATAACCCACGATTCGTTTTCATTTTATTAATTATCTAAAGATAGTCTATAATTATAGCGCGTGTACGCGATGCAGATATTTTTTTATAAACTCTGTAAATTTAAAACAAACGTACATTCTAGTAAAGTTTAATATTTAAAACAGTTATAAATAAAACACAATACAATTATATTTCGCATCACGTACAGCACATTTAACTGCAGCTACATTATGCAGGATGTATCGTAGTTTATTGGCACTTCCTTCATTTATTATATTTTTAGATTCTTTGACCATTCAAGTCTCTATTTGGTTAACAAAGATATTGCGCGGCTAAAATATCTTAATAATTTAATTTAGTTTAAAGATTTGCAAATCCGTATAAATTAGCTCGATAATATCGTCTGATGATTCAACTGTCGTTTTGTCGCTACTTTTTTTCCTTTATGCAAAATTTATTTTATTCGCCGTATCTATAGTTAAGGAATCGAGTTTTAGTGACGCGCAGAGAGAAGAAAAAATCTGTGTCTTCTTCAGTGAGCTGAGGCTAATGCGTTACTATCTTCAAAAGACGGGCGTTTATTTACCCAGCTAATTGCCGGTCAGCAGTAATGCCTGACCTGTTGACATGGCCGTAATGACGTGGCACGAGGTATGTCGGTTCGAAGATTACGCACGTATATGAATCCGATGATGCAGATATTCATCTTTCACGCCTTTGTTTAACGAGCATCGGCACGTATCTTCATCGCGAAGAAGATCCGCCGGAACAATTTGAAACGTTTGCGGCCTTATCGCGAGTTTCTCGTCCCGTCATGTTCTTTGAAGATCATTAAAAACTTGGCGGACACACGATTATAAATCGATAACAGAACGATATGTTTTTCCCGCGACTTTTGCGACCATTGAGTTAAAGAATTTCTCCGCATTCTTAGTCGTACAAAAATACAAATATTATAATCTTCACACACGCGTCGATGATAATTACAGTCTAAACATTCTGTATTTTTGCATATTTTTAAAAGTAACAGTGTATGCACTCTAGAGTATATTTCTACAAAACACGCAACAGTGTAAAAAAAAAAAAAAGAGTTACGCGTGATCTGAAAAAAAA